AAGGGTATTAAAATCTACATTTATTTCATTTATCTGGCTAAAATTCTGCAGCTTGTAGTTAAGATCAATATTATTTGATGCAATTGTCTGTTCATATGTTTGATCTTTAGCTGACTTTCTTGTTACCTACCAGTTACATCCTCATTTCTTGTCCTTGTCCAAATATCCTGATGTAGAGTTTAATACAGGATAAGAAATGCAGTCTGCCTTGTCCAAGTGGGCTGATCCATGTATGCTTTAGATCTTAGTGAGGTTCTTTTGTTGAGTCAGTTCAGTGCTTCTCAATGACTCAATTTGCTCCAGTATACGCTGAATGTGAAGACCTTTTCCCATTTGTGTAAAGTAGCTGGTTATTATGGATCCCTGTTTTTCTTGTGGTCTTCTGTATGAGTCTTTGCCATGTCGTATATTTGTAGGGGTGTTTCCATTCTGAAATCAGCCTGTGATGACATCTCAGAAAAGAGCAGCTTTCCTTTGACTCTACTGTAACTTTTTTTTTTTTACTCTTTTTTACAGCAGAGGCATCATTTTTCTCAGTGCCAGCTTTAAGAGGAAACATTTATTTTATTTTTTTTAAAGCTCTTAAGCTGAAATTGCTTTTTTATTTAAGTCTTTATATACTTGTTGTGAATTGCTTTCCTTGGTGCGAGTGCCTCAGCAGATAGATTACTGTGCACTTCTGCAGCCCGAGATAAGATCTTGGCAATTGCCACTTCCCGTAGGAACAGAACTGTTAAATGACAGTATGTCATTATCTCTTAGTCTGAGCTACTCCAGAGTTTATGGTGTAATAAAATAGTGTGATCAGATTGAGGCCTGCTGCAAGGTTCCCCGGGAGCCTCTCTCAATCTGGAGGCCTTGAGGGTGGACGTACAGTTTCTCTTCTGGAAATACTGACGTGCAAATCTATGCAACATTGCATTGTGCTCAAACGACTGATGGCATCATCACCTCTTTGTGTCATCTTACCTAATACTTACTTGAAGATTTTGGGGTTTTCTTCTCTCTCTTAGTCTCCTGTTGGTGTCTGAACAAGATGGGGAGAGTATAGCCACATGTGCTACTGTGCAGATTTACGTATGGCAACCATAGGGTGGTGCAGAGTCCTAGAGGCTGCGGCAAATAGGGAAGTTTGCAGAAAATACTTATTGAGCAAAGGGGGGAATTTGAGAAATCTGCCACTCCAGGGTAGTTACAGGTTAGGAGGCTGAAATGAGGGTAATTTTCTGAAGGCTGAGAGGAATGGAAAGAGAGGGCTGTGGGCTGCAGAGTGACTCACTACTGTGAGGTCTCTGGTAGGGGAAAGGGAGAAAGGGTCAGGCATCCCGGTACAGAAGGCTTTGGGACAAGGGGCTGACAGCCACCACAAGCACCTCCTGCTGATGAACACCTGTAAGTTTGGAAAGTTGGGCTGTGTTCCTGGGACTGATCCCTTTTTTCTGAACAAGACAGCCATCCGCCCTTCCATTTCTGTGTCCTTTGTGGCAGGAAACACGATGCTGTCACACCAAGTGGAACCCATTAATGCAACTGAGAGCAACCTTCTCCCGTAAAGCACTCAAGAACTTCTTATTCCAGTCACTACTGCAAATTAAGAGCAACAAGAACTTTCCGTTTGAAGAAGAGTGCTTCAGCAGACTTCCTCTTTCCACCCCTGAAGTTTTTGGGGGTATTTGCGCAGGGCACAGAACTTAACACCAGGAGATGAGTGGCATGGAATGACTCATGCTCAAAACCAGAAGCATTTGACTTTGGAAAACTGACTACAGTTCTAGCCCTTCCTCTTTAAAGTTTTATATTGCACGACCTTTTAAATGAAATGTCGAGCTTCCTTTTTAAACGGTGGGATCTCTGCAGTATGACTGTGAGTGTGATTCAAGAAGGTGTTTCGTAACTTTTTCAATCCCTGTGTCCGTCCACTAACTTCAGTTCTGGTGACATCACTGGCTTCAAGTTCCTCAAAGCATGATAATTGTGTGCTTTGAATAAGTCTGCTTTCTCCAATGTGGAGATCCTGTAATACTGACATCTTTTGAAACCGCCCTAACAGTGGTGAGCACCAGTAGTTGTGTGACTCTTGCAGTAACCAATAATGGAAGTTTTTGAGGAATGGAAAAGCCCATGACATGGCCATTTTGTATAACTTGTCACTAGATTGTTTCCCTCTAATAATTATCTCTGCTGAAGGCCACCAGGTTTCCACTAAAGTCCACTTCATATCCTGGAATTGATCTTAGATTTTGTTGTTGTTGTTACTTTAGATGTTTTAGCAACTTCTATAGCCACCCTACCAAAAAAAAAAACCCAAACCAAAACTCCAACCAAACCACTTTTATCCCATATTGCTGAAAAGAGTATGCCCCATCTTTTCAGACATGGGTTTGAGTGCTGAGGTCCAGGCAGGCATGCCGTCCAGGATTTTCTATTTTATTGGTGTTCGTTACATTCAGAAATGAAGTGCTATATGCTGCTTGGATTTTCATAAAGGCAGCAGCTTGCCTGTTGTCATACCTCGTTTTATTACCACCCCACTCCAGTTTTTTTCCCTGTTTGTTGAAATATGCTTCAGGAATACATTAGGTTTTTTAAGTTGTCCGTGTTTCTGGAAGGTACATGGGTAACTTCTTTATTTTCATTTTCTCTGTGCCTATGGGAGATATGCATCTCCTAGAACTCCCATATTCTCTCAGTACCTTTAGGCATCGTAGCATCTTTAAAAAGATCTAATATTTGGTAGCGAGGTAGTAGGCAGCTCTCTATTCCCTGAACAATAAATTACCAGTTTCAGATCCTGAAATATGTGTGACATTGGTATTTGAATCTGTGGAGCTCTCTGAGAGTTGGGGGTAGTGTGTATGTGCACATAGTCATATATGCTTAAGTATAATATTTTTATATTAGAGTGCTTTTGTATCATTCCATATCTGTCATGAAGCATTTCATCCGTTTCCTTTTAAAAAAGAGAGGACAGTTCTTTTCAAACTTGTTAATGCCGTGAAAGGAAACAGTGTAGATTAGTGCTGCTGCTAATTTAACCCAATATTTACAGCAAAAAAGCCTAAGGGTCTTTTAGTTTGGTTTGCATTTTGCTGGATTTTAGGGGGATTTTTTTGGTTTTGATTTTTTTTTAATATTAATCTTAAGTGGTGGGGTGGTTGTGTTGTCTTTTGCTGGGTTTTGGGGTTTTTTTAACAAAAAAAAATAACCTCTAGGCTCTGTGGGAAATGTGGTTACAGATCTAGAAAACCATTTTTCCTAGTTCCCTGTTTTTGTCTCTTGTTAATCCTGTACAGTCGGTACAGAAGAAAAATAAACCCCTGCAAAATACAAAGTCACCAACCTAGTGTCAGGGACGAATTTATGAAAACATCCATTCTAGCTGCCTCGTGTTTGAGATATTAAGACTGTGGCAGTCAAGATCATATTCTCCAGACGGCATTCTTCATAAGCAGAAATACTGGCAGCCATGTGTTAAGTTTAAAAAAAGATAGCAGCTGATGTCAGGGCTTATTTCAGTCAGGAGCCATTTCAGAATACTGTACTAATTTTGAGCAGGTATATGTAAAATAGAACTCTTGCCTTGAAGCACAGCATTCAGTGTAAATTGATACATACGTGAATAATGGGGTAGAAAAAGATGAACAATTAATCAGCTGCAGTAGATAGCCCACTTTAAACAAAAATAATAAATCTTCAGTGTTGTACGTGATTCTTTATGCAAAACTGAGAGGAACAGAACTGAGGAACAGAAATTCAGTGTGCTTGTGTTTCAAGGATTAAATTTTTGAGCTGATATAAAATCCTCCTGCTCTGATATGGGGAAACTACCACAATTTGAACCAGAGTCTGAGCTAATTTGAAACTATTAATAGAGGAGCGTCCAGCCTTTCTGTGCAAGTGATCAATAGGTCACAAGCAGCCCCAGATGCACAGAAACCTATTCTCTGCTCACTCTAGATGTGGATGAACACCAGGCTCAAATATATCTGTATCTGGAGAGATAATCAGTAATAAACTCTGCTTCATTTGGTTAACTGTATTTAACAAAATTAATTTCATCCAGTGAAAGGCAATGAATCTAGCTCAATAATTTGTTTTTAATGATTTATTTTTTTTAGTGGTCTCTGGGCCACGTTTCATGTATGTGCTCAATGGCATTTTAAGATTTCTTAAACTTAATTATGCTATTGAAATAGCAGTTTTACAGTAAATCCATTCTTTCAGTTTTCATTGATTTCAGTTAAATCTAACAGCTTCACCCTGAAGTTCCTAGTACTATAATTTTTAAGAATTGCATATTTGTGCAGTATTTTTTGATGTGAAGTTCTGTTTCTACAAATTGGGACTAAAGTCCAAGGACAACAGATTTCTTTTTATTAAAGCTTTTGAAATTGTCTCAGCATCTGAAAAAAACTGAAAGAAACCCTAATTATATGCTTGTGATGATATATCATGGTTTATTTGAGCATGTGAATTGGATACAAATAACTTTGGCCATCTGCAGCTTTGTGACATCTTGCTGATGTCCAACATCACTTACACCTATATCTTGAGTTAAGTCACTACTCCATGTGTATGTTTGATGCCAAGAGGGGTAGACAAGGTTTTTTTCTATCACAATGAAGATTTTCTAATTGCTGCTGAGTTAGAAGTACAACTGATGGTTTCACTGATAGTGGAAAGAATTACTCAAAGCAGTTTATGTGAAAGTGCTTTGGGGCAGAGACCCTGCTCCATCAGGAGTGTAAAGGCATAACGTCTGGTAAATGTTCTGCTGCTTTATTATGTAAGCTAATAATATTTTAGCACACAAGTAATGTTAGTGTTGAATTCTGATAAATTTAAACTCAGTTCTTAAGTTGAAGCCCGAAGTGCTTTCTGTCCAGAACTCCCACGTGTGAAGATGTGAAGTCAAATGGGTATTTGTCTTAAAATAGCAATGGTATGATGATATTAGATGGATTCATATCTAAGACTTTATTTTTTTTTTTTTGTTTCAGGACATCAAGCGTGAAGCCAGTGATTTTCCATGCAAAGTGGCCAAACATCCCAGAAACAAAAATAGAAATAGGTACAGAGATGTCAGCCCCTGTAAGTACACTTTATTTTCCATTGTTTGTAATAGACTGTTGACCTCTAATGACTTCTTCTCACAGCTAAATGTTCTTTGTAAGAACAAGGTTTCTGTCAGACGGATATGCATCTAAGACAATTCTTTTTGTTAATAAATAAGTTTATGAGATAGAAGTCACAGGATGCCATTATATCCATAGGATTATACTAAAACAGCATACAGTATGTTCTGTATTTGTTGGCAGAAGTCCGAAGAAAGGAATTTGCTTTTCCTTTGAATTCTTTTGCTAGAGAAGAATGGTGGCTGAAGTAGCATTAATAAAACTGCAAGTATCCTTTCTGCTGCAGTATGCTTACTAGAGCATCCTTCTAGTCAGTGTAGCATAACTGCCCCTACTGGGAGATGGGGAAGAGTCTTGCATAAAACATATGAGTACTGGCAATAAATCTGAGCTAATTAGAACAGAGAAAAGAGGATGCTTGCAAAGGTGGTGGTTCTGAAATTATTATCATTGTGAATTCTGGTGGGAAGTGTATCTTTGCACGTGTCCTCTGTACGAGGCACAGCTCCGTTCAGTGCTGCAGCCTGTCTTTCCTTCCACCAACATCCCATGGACAGAGACAGTAACATTCAGACTCCAGGGCCGGGCGTGCTGCACTTCTGGCTGTGCAGAGAGCTGTGGGACAGGTGAAATGGTTGGCAAATAATACCTGATGTATCAGACACTAAAGAAAGTGCACAGCTGGTTCACTAAACTGCCTCCTCTGCGCTGAGTGACAGTGCCTGTCCTGGGACTTCTTTCCCCCTTGAAGGGTTTGGTGCTGCCACCTGTTTTAAACGTAAAGTTTGTATAGGTCACTGGGAAAAAGTCTGTCTTCTGTTCAAAGACAACAATATTATTGTCTATTGGAAAATTATACTTAGTGGTTAAAAGTTACTGAAGTTGTTGGGGCAATTGACAATAATAGAGCATATTGTACATGGGTTGCTTTACTGAGCAGTTCTAATACTTGGGGTTGTGAGTAACAAATGGTTCCTTTTTGCCTTTAGATAATACTGCTTCCAAGCCATTTTGGGTTTTTTTGCAAAATTTGTTTCTTTGTTGGTGGTTTGGTTTTTTTAATCCTAAATGGAGCAAGCTGAGACTAACAAAAGAGCAGTGAAATTACATTTGCTGTAGTTCTTGAATTTTGATCGTTTTTTCTGTACATTAAGGTGTGGTTGGGTTGGAAACAGTAGCTAAATGTCTACCGGAAGAATAAGAATCTCTGTTCTGTTTGTCCAGTATATGTTCAGGCAAACCTTTAACAACCTTGAACAAGTTGAATTTGAATGTTTAAGCTGCAAAAGATAAACAGTTGTGTAATAGATTTATTTAAAAACAGTAACTCGATAACTGTACAAATAGGTCAGTGTGATCTGGTTTGCAAATTACTGTTGGGGTTACTTCAGATACAAACACTTCCATTCTTGCAATGTGTTCTTGGAAGAGGGAGGGCAGCTTGTGGTCCCTGTAGGGCTGTTCTTGTAGTGACTTTCCAGAGCTACAAGCACCCCTGAACACCTCTGCGCTCCCTGCCTTTAAGCTCTTCCCATTCTTCAGGAGGATTCAGCTTTTATGATCCTAACATCTGATAAAGTTGTGCATGGGTTTTGCTGTGTTGCATATAGATTAACCAGTTTTTTTCTAATTATGCTGCAGTTGATCACAGTCGAATTAAGCTAAACCAAGGTGACAATGACTATATCAATGCTAGTTTGATAAAAATGGAAGAGGCCCAAAGGAGCTACATCCTTACCCAGGTAATTGCTGGCAGTGGATAATAAAAGCCATATGGTGATTGGAGTTGTTTTTCTTTAACCTGTTATGTTTGTTTTCTTTATTGTAAAGCTAGTTAAGTGTGTATAAACATCTGCGTGTTTTATAAACATACACATAGAACGATTTTATAGAAACGCTATATTTCTTCCTGCTTCCTGTCAGCACTGACTGACTTTTCGTAGAGTATTTTGGTCCCTTTGTATAACAGATGCTTATGTGTTATGGTGAGAGGGGCAGACATTAACTAAAACAGATTTGGGAATGTCTTACACCTGACCTTCTCTTTCAGGTAAGTTGTATGCTCCACCAGGCATTTTTTGTTAAACATCCTTCTGAAAGTGATGTCATTATAGTATTTACAAATAACGTATCTCCTAATAACGTGGTCTAAGTTGGGCAACGCTAATGCTTCTACCTTTTGTGTGAGAGGAAAGCTGTGAATACAGACTTCAGTGATGGGAATATAGGAGGCAGAAGGGAAGGAGCTATTTTTCACTCCTACCTATATAACAAATTTAAAAATACCTGGATTCCCTGTTGTCTTATTCTGAGAACTAGTGACTGTGCCAGAATTCTTGTTTGTCTTAAATGTTTGGTTCCCTGGAGACTGTCCTGGTCTCTAGTCTTGACTTTCTTTTTTTACCCCTTCCTCCCACGCTTTAGATAAAGGTAGACTGGGATTAATATTTTCAAGTGGCAGCTTTTCCTTCCTGTTTCTAGAGAATAAAGATAAATCTAAGGAAGAAGTGGACAATGCAGTGTTCAATATGACAATGATTCTGTGCACACAGCTCTTATTCCAGTTATTCATGATATGGGAGGTTCATCACAGGGTTGAACTGATATGTGGAATAGTCAAATGTGCAGCTAACTAGTAGTAGTCATCTATTCTGATTCAGAATTTAATGGATTTGAATGGCCTTATTCAATTCCAGTCATTCTTTCTGAAGACTCTGGGCTGCTATTTTGTTTGAGCAAAGTGATAGATAGCAAATATGAGAGGCATGATGATGCTGGCTTGTGTTGCCCAAAGATCGGAGCAATGGTTTTGGAGTAGAAAATAGCAAAGGAACTTAGCACAAACAACAAGTTATAAGGAAATCTACTCTGTGAGCAGATAATAGACTTTAAAAGGAGTTATCATTTTGTTCCGTTACAAAGCAGATCTATGAAGATTCTTGAAAACGATATAACTTACTACTGATCTGGCATTGTTTCAGTCTTTTGAACATTTGTCCATGCAGTCTAGTAGTTCAAGTATTATGAATAACTGTGATGCATTACGGAATAGTTCAACATAGATGTTAATTCTGTTCTTAGTCAATGAGGTTTTATTTCCCCATATGTATACCTTTCCTAAGAAAGTTCTCAGCACTTTTCACTCCCAGTTCTCTTCTCGCAAATGAGACTAGTTGTGTCTTCCTGTTATGTTTCGGGGGGGGGTGGGGAAGGGTAACTGTGCTTTTATGGGTAAATTCATAGTGTTAAAATGGAACTTAAAGCTGTATCACAACGCTTTTTTACAGTTTGAAATGAGAAGTTGCTTGTTACTTGTCTAAATTTATTGCCTAGTGCAGTAGCTTTTACTGGGAAATGTTGAACTGACATTAACAGAAAATAAGGCTTATTTCTGGGGATTCTGTCTCTGCAGGGACCTTTGCCAAATACTTGTGGTCACTTTTGGGAGATGGTTTGGGAACAGAAAAGCCGTGGTGTTGTCATGTTGAACAGAGTGATGGAAAAGGGATCCGTAAGTACTTACCCAGTTATAGCTATGTGTTCCTTTGCATGTTTATGGTTTTTCTTTTAAAAAAAAAAATACACCAGAAAACAAACCAACTAACCCAAAAAATGGGGAGTGATGACAGCCATCAGTACAGAAAACAAACCAACTAACCGAAAAAATGGGGAGTGATGACAGCCATCAGTAATTTTATCTAAGAAATTATATCTAGAATTAAATACCCAGTCACCCGATCTCAGCCCAGTCAGAAAATTATTCCCTTTGTAATTGTAGGTCTTAATTTCTTCTGAATTTGCTGAAATAAGGCATGAACACAATATGACTCTCCACACCAATGAATATTTGGTCTTTACTGCTAGCCTAGCTCTCTGAATGGAGTTCTTTTCAGTGTCACAGATTGCACCTCTCAAAGGTCATTTACGCCAAGTGTTGATTCACAAGCATTTATGAAATGGTTTTGAAGTCGTTATGGAGGCGCTTTGACTCCACGTTTCTATCGTGCAGTAAGAGCTCTGATGATTAAATGTATCACCTAGGCACCAGGCTCCACCAGTGTCATTGCTTTAGGAAATATGTTAGAGGTATGAGGAGAAAGGGAGCACAGCTGAAAGTACTTCTGGTGTCTGTCCCAAGCAATGATCTTCTGGGTGCTGGGGAACCAGCTGCTGAGCTGGTGCTTTACTTGCTGGGACAAGCACAGTGGGCTGTCCAGGCCTTTTAGGAAGTTTACATGAGACAGTACGGGCAGAAGATGAAGGGAAACAATAGTTAATCAAACAACGGGGATTATTTAAAGCAATTTACCTTCAGACAGATAAAAAGTTGTGGTTCCTCTGGCACATGGAGTAGCTGCTGTCTTGGTAAGGAAATGCCTCAGCCTCTCTGATGGTGGAGATGACGGGATCCACCGGGTGTGGTTTTCATCCATGGGTCAGAGTTCTGCCCCTGTGCTCGCTCCACGGCTGCCATCCTTAGAGTGGACTTGGCAGCTGCACAAATTTGAGACAAAAGCAATTTTAAAGACTGATAGAAATGCACAGTTTAAAGCTGAATGATACAGTGTGGCCAGTACAGAGACACTTCGGAGGAGAAACAGTGGGTATGTTGGGTATCCACCAGTGACAACTGGGTGGTACATGCTTTTGCATAATCAGGAAAGAATTCTCAATAATCAGGAAGATTCTTGTGCAGTGAGTTATGTTTTAATAAACTGCAGTCTTGATTTTTGAGTGTTTTGCTTTTTTTCGTAGTGCAAGTGAAATTTAATCTTCAAAAGAGTTGCAGTAACCATATTTTTCAATATTTTCTTCCTTTCCAGCCATTCCCGCTCATTCTCTGCGCTGCCAATAGTTTTAAACAAAGAGAATTGTTGTGATCCCTCAGGGCAGGCTCCTTAAGCTTCTCCACAAACAGCAGTGGGGGACCTACAGTGCAGCACCACAAAATATTGTTTGCAGACACATTTGGTTGAGAAATCAGACACAAAGCCAGTTGCTGTCTCTTGAAAATTAATTCAAAAAAACCAACCCAAAGTGCAGAGAATTGTAACTGCATTCTACACCCAGATAAACTAGAGGATGTATTTTGAATAAAAACTAGAATTAATCTAAGCAATACTAGTGTTAGTCTGCCTATAAATAAAATGCTGAAGGGTTTTCTTATTTATTAAAATGCTGTCAGAAATCATCTTAGTCTTGAGAATGCTGTTTCTTTTTCATTGTTCTTCAACTTTAAAGCCATATTATTTGCCCTTTAATAAAAGAGGCATTAGCCATGCCCAACCATCTGTACTTACTGCATGTTTAGGTGTGGGCAAATGGTGGTCACAACCCCATTCCAGTGAGCAGTGCTCGGTGGCAGAAGTAGTCACCAGTTCTCCCAATCACAATATCCTTACATTTAACTGTCAGAAACGCGGTTACACACTTTCCTATTCCTGTTGCTGATGAGTTGCTTTAGTTTCAGTTTTTCCCTGCATGCTGCAAAATGTGCTACTTCTCTTTTCGGTTGACTCATTCAAGGTCCTGGCGCTTTGCTCAACTAAACTCTCTGGGAAACCTCACTGAGAAATTTGAAATTCAGTCAGGAGTAGGTAATGGGAGTGTTTGCTGAAGGCAGGGTTTTTTTGTTTGGCACTTCACTTTTAAACTGTGCCATGTGAAATCAAAATGATCTCACTGCTATTTTTGTTTTTGTGGTGAGTGATTAGAGTAACCCAAAATCTCATCTGATGTTACACTTGCAAATTAGCAATGTTATAATTCTATCTATGTTGCTTATTCGTGGAATTCATACTTTTTCACAGTACATTCTGCTCTTGTTAACATCTAGTTCTTCTTTTGAAATTTAAATGTGTGACATCAGGGTAATAAATAAAATGCAGAATAGACTAAAATTGAGATTTTGGCAGAATGTTGTGACAGCTTTTATAATTAGACAGTTACTCGATTTTTTTTGTTGGTTTTTTGTTGCAACACAAGCTGAAATAAATAATGGCTTTGGTGGTTTTGATTAGATTCCATGGCAGCTTACGGGAGAAAGGAGAAAGAGGGCTCTACCTGAACAAACCTTAGGTATTTTCATGAGTTCAATCAGGGTCAAAGTGATTTGACTCGTACAAAAGATTCAGTGGTACAAAAGAAGATGTGGTTCTGCAACATAAAAGAAGGCTGATACTCTTCACACTAGAATTGGCCTTCCTTAGAATAAAAGCAGATGAAGAAATTGTCTCATAAGAAAATGCATTTAAGGATGTTTTTTCCTTGGCTTTTACACAAACATAAATGACACATAAATGTCTCCTATTTGTTTTTAGATAAAGTGTGCACAGTACTGGCCACGGAAAGAGGAGAGAGAGATGTTTTTTGAAGATACAAACTTGAAACTAACATTGATATCTGAAGATATAAAATCATATTACACAGTACGACAACTAGAATTGGAAAACCTTACAGTAAGTACCGAAACTAGTACTGATCAGATTCTGCAGTCTGAGGTGAGATTCACCTTATCAATGAGGTCTTGAAAAAGATGGTCAGAATTATAGCAGATTTTGTTCTGGAATTGGTGATTCTGTGTGAGATTGTTCTTCAGCCTCTAGTTTGTGTTTTACGGAAATGAAACTCTTAAATATTTATGAAATGTATATGGGGAAACTTACAGTCGTTTTCGTGTCTCAGCTGTGCACTGCGTGAGAGGGTTAGATTGTCACTACCTTTCAGAGAACCCTTTATAAAAACACTTAGCAGATGTCCTAGTGCTTTTGTGTTATAGATGAAATAATTGCTCTTCCTGTCACTTAGGCTGCCTGTTTGCCTGTGGCTTGTTCTAAGGTTTATTTTTAGGTTTTGGCTTAAATCTTTGTGTTTTGCATTGATGGCTTTCACCAGAAAGCAGGAGCTGGTTTAGCTGGTCCAGCAGTGAGCTGCACGGAGCTGGTACAAGGCTGGTACAAGCCACAAGCTTTAAGAGAAATAAGGGGTTTTATTTTTTTTCCCCCCCTCTTCTTGCTTACCACCAAAATAAAAGTATACATGCTGTTTCCCACCCTTGCTCTCTCTTTAGCACTGTCCTGTATTAGAGCAGTGGGAGCTAATCTAAAGCTCCCTGGGGAGACTAGCTAAGGGGGAGCACCATTAACTTTCACTGGATGCAGGTCACTGATGATAATGTCCAAGGTCCTCGATGGAGCTGAGCCAGGTGTGAACGGTGTGAGGTGCCAGCCTCTGTCCTGGTGGAGGACACGGTTACTCCTCTGCTCAGCTTTAGCATCTTGCATGCTTCATCCTGCCAGGAAGCGTGAGACAGCAGACAGGAATTTCACTAAATTGTCCCCGAGTAAGAAGTAGTAGTTTGTGGTGGGTCTGAACTGTGATGTCTGATTTGTGAGGGCTGCCACAGGAGGGTTTGGTGGCTCTGGGTCGGTATTCTCGGGGGATGTGAGCACTGGTGGCTTAGGAGTCTTGGAAGAAAGTTTTCAGGTTGGAAACAAACCTGTGACGAACAGCTGTGATAGCGTAAGGGCTTTGTCTGCAGAAAGTGTAAAGACTTCTGTAACCTGATGTATTTCATTTTGAGAAATCTTCAAATGATACTCTGCCATTAGGAACTGGCAGGCAGCAGAGCCAGCTGTCTTGTGGCAGGATAAGCATTTGAACTCTATTGAAAAAACCAAACCATGGTACAAATAAGTATATTTACTTATCCAATTTCCTTTGCTCAACATGGAGACCTTCACAACAAGAGATAATGATTTGTAATTAGTTTTTTAGCTAAGCAGCTATAAAAGCTCCCTCAGACTGGGGGAACTTTGTCGTTTGAATCTGTTGGCTATTCTAAAGATGCCGTGGAAGCAGTGGAGCCTGAGCAGGCACATGCCTCCGTTCCATGTAACTCAAGAGTTATTTTCAAAGGAAGTAGCTAAAATTCTTCCAAAGGCACAAGTTTGAAAGTGACCTAAAGGTAAAAATGTCTGATGTCCAAAGCTGTATGTCTAAATTCACAAGTGACTGTTTGCCAGGAAACTGAACGAGGAACTGTATGTGCTGAACAGAACATTGTTGTAGGCAGCTGTGCTTTGAATCCTTCTGACCCCTGCATCCAAGCTAAAAGACTTCCTAAATACTCTTTCTACAGACACAGGAAACTAGAGAGATTCTGCACTTTCATTATACTACGTGGCCTGACTTCGGCGTCCCAGAGTCACCCGCTTCATTCCTCAATTTCCTCTTCAAAGTGCGAGAGTCTGGCTCGCTCAGCCCCGAGCACGGGCCCGTGGTGGTGCACTGCAGCGCGGGCATCGGCAGGTCGGGGACGTTTTGTTTGGTTGATACGTGTCTCCTGCTGGTAAGAACGACTTCTTCCAGATGATACGCTATTTCTGTAGAGTTATTTTGAGGAATGATTTGTTGTAGGCTTGCAAAGAGCTGTGGTGTGTTCTGTGGAGTGTTGTTGCATGCTATTTCCATTATCTTACTCATATTCTGGTTTGGGAGCGTATTCCAAGGCAGATCTCATTCTTAACTGGCCATTTGGAGTCTGGAGAAGAAAAGTCTGTAGTTTTTAGAGTGATTTGCAAAGACAGGCTTTGCCCTCATGGTTAAGGAAAAAAACCCCTGGATGTCTGCTAAGTAATAGTGTGAATTATCCTTTTACAGAGTCAATTTTGTCCTGACTTTAAGATAAAACTGGAGTTCCCTTGGCTTTATTCTGTCACTCTGTGAAAGCTACTAATGCACAGAAGTCAGGCCTAGGTTAAAATGGCCTTTCCCCCACCCCTAATTATATTTTGAAAACAAGAAAGAAAAAATGTACAATGTGTTGGAGACCCAGTGTGTTTTCCCCTCTCTGTCTCTTTAGAGACCCAATAAATAGCTGCTGATATCAGTTTTATTATTAGTTTATTAATTCTGTAATACGGAGGGTGGTCTGAAGGCCACCCTACAAACTGACTCGTATTGAATCTCACCAGAGCATAAAGCATCTTTCAAATTTTTGTCTTCAGATGGACAAACGGAAAGATCCTTCTTCTGTGGACGTTAAACAGGTTCTCCTCGAGATGAGGAAGTACCGAATGGGGCTCATACAGACGGCAGATCAGCTCCGTTTCTCCTACTTGGCTGTTATTGAGGGGGCAAAATTCATTATGGGAGATGCCTCCGTGCAAGTGAGTACGAGCAACCGCGCGGCCCGAGGCAGGGAGCTCAGCAAGTGTGGGCCATGAGTGGAATAGAAAGAGACTTTAAATCTCGTGCTTGCTTCAGCTTCAATACATTTTTACATTATGGGGTTCTTAAATACAGTGCTTAATGATCTGTCGTGACCTGAAGTGTTGTATATAAGAGCCTTCCACAAAGTACCTGCAGTATGAGAGGTGGCCTTGTGTGCTTTTCAGCCCTGTCACCAGGGTGTAGACTGGCTGCATCGGCCTTGTCTTTCATCTCAGATAATAAATATTTTCTAATATGCCAGAAGTTTAAGTATTAGGATTTATGTCCTGTAAGTTGCAGAACTCAAGCAACACAGGTTCTGTTTTGTGCCGTTTACATTTTCCAGACATAGATTAAAATTTCCTGCATTTATCGCAGGGGTTTTCTGTGTGCTAGATGTAGCTCAGGTTTGGAATTCTTGTGTCTTTTTATTTTTTCCTTTTTTTCAATACAAATAAACAGCCATTCTAAGAATAAGTTAAAAGGTGGAGTATAAAGACCCTGCCATGTTAAAGTTAAAAGTTATAGCCACTTACATAAAAGAAACAGAGAAAAGCTTAACAGGGCTTTTCCTTCCTGAAGGAGCAGTGGAAAGAGCTCTCCAATGAAGACTTGGACCCTCCACCTGAACACACCCCACCACCTCCCAGACCACCAAAGCGAACCTCCGAAATGCACAACGGGAGGATGCATGACCACACGGAATTCTTCCCGAAGCATCAGGGAGTGGAGGAGGAGGTGAGATGTTCAGTCAGCGCTGGGGAAGAGACGGTTCCAGACGGCAGAGCTCGTTCATCCGGACCACTCATCACAGACAGGTAATTTGTTTAGTTTCCTGCTTTTTTCACTGTCCCGAGAAGACCATCCCGTTGGCTCATGGCTTTGAGAGGTTACAGAGCGTTTCCTCATCAATGGCATTTCATAGAGAAGGGCCTGAACAGACTTTGATCGATTAGTGTAATAATAGCTCCAACCAAAAATCTTTTCAGTAAAGCTCTTATGCTCATGCTCTTTTAACTTGAGGCACAAGCCAGGGCCTCTTTTTGGATCCTGCTGGAGTAAGAGAAAAAGTGACAGCATAATGAGGTGGTTTCATCTTGATTTCCATGCAGCGTATGTTAAGTTACAGAGGAGCTCTTTCACTTAGAGGCAGTATTAGTCATGGAGCTGAAAACTAGGCTGAGTAGCCTTAGCCACGCTTGGAAATGTGAAATCAGTTGCAAGCAAAGCTGCTTTTGATGAATGGAGTAGAGGGGGCTCATGAAAGGAGAACTTTTCTACCTGTCATTTAACCTACACAGTAAGGACTAATAAATGTGCAGCGGTGCTGTGTACGTGAGTGGGTGAGTGGTACAAGAGCAGAGCAGCCCAGGTCCCTGCCTGTGTCACCACTAGATGTCACTCCTGACGTATCACAGTGACGTGGAACTGGTTGAAATCCACACACCTTGGTGTTGCTGGTGTCCTGCAGGTCCACTAGTTTTACTCAGAACAACCGAGTGCCACACAGACCAAAAAAAATCAAAATTAAAAAAATAAAATTCCTATACCCACCAGGGATTATCAAGGGAAAGCGACATGTTCCCCCACTAGATGGTCTCCTAAAGATATCTTCAGCTTCCCGTAGGAATACTGGAATAAAATACCAGGTTTTAGTATTGTCCACAGAACTCCTAGAGCCTTTCCAAGAGATGCAGCTGGCAGACTGGGTGTGTTGTATTTGGCTGAACCTGGCGGGGAGTGTGTGACTCTGGGAACTGGAGATCAGTGAGATGTGTTTCCAATAATCTGTCTTCAAAATAAACCTCCTCTAATTTCACATGGCAGAGCAGAGGCCGGGCCAGGAGCTGAACCTGTTGTCTCCCTCCAGATTCTGCGGGAGGCAGGGAGAGAAATGGGAGTGTTTCCCTGCTCAATGGGAAACAATGCTTTGATCAGGATTTTTCTTAATTCATCAGGGCAGATTCTGGAAGTGAAATACTCAAATTCCAAATGTCTTTACTAAAAAGAAAAATCTTGGAAATAGGAATGGATACAAATGGAAGCTCAGCTACAACAGGGACTCTTTCTTACCTCCGTGACAGTGTGGTTCCATTACCAGAGTATTTGCTTGGGTTGCAAGGTGCCAGCTCATGCTCTCCGTGCCTAATGAAGAGGATGGATTTAAAGCTGGTGTCTCGTGTCTTCTCGTTAGCTCTATAAATCTGAATTTCTTGGTGAATACATGATTTCCTGGAAGTACTTTGCACAGTGTAGCTTAGATGAACATAAGACATGTCCAGCTCTGAAGAGCAGCTCAGAGACTCAATTAATTTAATCTATTACTTGTCTGAGGCTGGAGTTGAGTCATGCTCTGGAACTGCCCACCCCCATTGATTGCAGAGGCTGGCAGGGACTCGACGTCTGCGTTTTACCCTGCTAAAGTTCCATCCCGCCTTGTGTGATGTTTGGGCTGGACTAGGAAACGCCAGGATGGGAATCCTGAGCTCCCTCCCCCCGTACCAGTGCTGGTGCTGCAGGGTCAGGCTTTCTTTGTCCCTTCATCCCTCTTGTCCTCGGGTCTGGGACAGGGGGAAAGTGACACTGTTTGTTGGGAGCGGGAGGGACTGGAGAGCAGAGGAGAGGTCTGATGGGAGAGGATGTGGGACAGCAGGAGGAACCAGAGGGGTGGGAAATAGACACTGCTGGCAGAGAGGAGGCAAGAAGAAGCAGAAATCTTAAGAACACTTATTTTCCTGCCCAAATATTCTAGTTCTGGGATGGAAGATTCCCGAGTTCTGTATTTAAGCTGGCAGCAGATCTCAAGGAAGTCCCCCTGCAAAGCATCTCCCCGCTGGCCCCCACCCTGCTGGTCCTCACAGCACGGGGACACTGCTTTCTGAACTCAACTGGAAGAAGTTGTACAGTAGATAGAACAGTCCCTGCTCAGTGAAGAAGCTCTTTGGGTGTCAGAACACTGGGCACTGCCAACAGGGGGTGTCTAGAAACCAAACCAGGTTAAGAGTATGAAAGGTGAAGAGATGGTCAGTCCCATTGATAAAAGCTACCACAGTGCATTTTGCTGCTCTCTCAAAGTTCGAGCTGCACGAGTGACCACAGTTCTGTCCTTCTTTTGACTTTTTGGGAGCTCGATTTCAGACCCTGGGTGTTCTCCTGACCTGGATGTAGGTTTGAGTTGTGCTACTTTGCTGCGGGTGGCAGATCTGTGATAAGCAACGGGGGTAGGTGCTGTTTAAAACTGTCAGCTCACGCTTTAAAGGGCACAAAATACTCCCAAGCACGGCTTTTGATGACAAGCACCATTCTAAACCTGTCATTTAATAATCAGAAGGGTAATAATTAGCGATAGGCTTTGGTTTGCTGTCTGCTGCAGCTCCCGAGAGCAAGAGATTTCCAGGTTTGTCCGTGGCGTGTGGTGGGGGAGGAGAATCCAATACTGAACATGTATTTCTTTGTCCCCAAGCACTAGTCAAGACACTGAAATTCGGAGGAGAACTGTTGGTGAAAACCCGCGTCTCTCGCCCCACAAAGAAGAGTCGATGAAGTCGGAAAGCTCGGAAGAGGAGGACGAGAACATGATGACAACTTGGAAGCCATTTCTAGTGAATATCTGCATGTTCACCTTCCTCACGGCGGGAGCTTATCTCTGTTACAGGGTGTGTTTTCACTGATGGACGTGCCAGCCAGGCCGACCCTGCGGGGAACACGATGACGGGATGGGTTTGTAAAAAGCCTCTCTGAAAGCGAGCTCATTGCGGCGCGTGAGCCTTGTCTCAGCGGGGGCAGATCTTTAGGTTGAAAGGCCAGAACTTTGGTTAGGGCTTAAAGAGAGAATTGATGCACTAGGGTTTTATCTAGCCCTGTGGTCCCAAGAACATAATATTCTAATCTCAGGGCCTTAAAATATTCAGGAGTAAGCAGAGAAAATGCCAAATAGTCTGTTTTCTTTATTCTTTTTTTTTTTTTTAAACTAAATAACAGAATTACAACACATTGTTGTTTTTAGCCTTTTTTAAAAAAGCCAGTTCTTTTTCTTTCGTGTTTCAGAAAAACTAGGCACAAGTGAAACTTGCTTGTACTCTCCAAGTGTTGTAACCAAATACGTGACTTCTATCGATGAGTCCCCAGACAAAGAAAAAGAAACCCACATACCTGAAGAATGTAAACTTTTTGGAAGGGAGGGTGTTGGGGGAGGGGTGTTTGTGGTTGGGGTTTTGGTTTTGTTTTGTTTTTTTTTTTTAAAACTTGCTTCATGGTGACAGACTGAGTTGTGGGCAGCGCCTGTGGTATTGGTCTATTTAATATTGGCATAACTGTTCTTACAGAGCTTATTGTTTTACATGTTGATAGAAACAGGCTGCTGCGTTTGCTCAGGGTATCCCAACGTGTCAAGCTCTTCTCTTTTTTTATTTTTTTTTCCTTTTTTTTTTTTCTTTTATTTTAAGAAGTGTATCTCCTCATTGACTTTTGTTGCACTCTACTTGCACATACGCCTATTGCCATTGCACCATCCTTTGCAAAACTGTTTTGACTTTTCTATTCTGGGTGAGGAGAGGTTGAGGGGAGGGAGAGAAGCAGGAAGGGAAATTCAACCAAACCACGTCCACCAGCATTTGGGGCTGTGCAGCAGGCGCTCGCAAGGACCAGTTCTGAAACCTCACCCTTTGGAATGTAAAAGGCGGTTTGACCCTCCCTGGGCTCCGTAAGGACCAGCGGGTCCTGCCCGCCCGCGGGGGGAGGTGCTGGGAGGGACAGCATTTCAGTGAATCCCGAGCAATTAATGCTGTGGCAGCTCCCTCAGGCACGAGAACTTCCACGGAGACACGTTGGTCGGTGACGGTCTCGGTTGGCTCATGATGCAAGCGTTCGCGTGTTCGGCTTTTTTTAAAGCAAAGGTTTAAAATACTGGCTTTAGTTTGGCTTGAAGAGACGCTCTTCAGTAGTTCCTGGGCAGGGGGGTGTGAGAGGGCGACTCTCCGGCCCCTGCAGCCGGGGCTGTCCCTGTCCTGGTGCTGGGGACACGCAATGGTGGGTCTGTCCCCTACCCCCATGTGTCCCCCCGGGCCATTCCGTGGCTCCAGTCCTGTCAAGTGCTTGTAAATAGGGATTTGGGTGCGTGGGTAGAGCTGTGACTGGAGAGCAGCGCTGCGCCCAGTCCCAGTCAGGGCTGTTCCTCCTCAGTACCAAATTATCAATAGCTTCAACAGTAACAGCAAAGTGGCTTTGCTGGTGTCACGGGGTGGGGGTGCACTCACTCGGGGGAGCCGTAGTGAGGGGAACTGACCCCTGAGGGCTGATCTGCAGCGTCACCAGGCAGTTCTTCTCATTTTTTAAAGGCTTTCTAGGGCACTAGTGCTCACCCGCCCCTCTCGGCACAGACCTGGCTGTGGAGTAACTCACAGAAGTCTCTCTCCACTCCATATTTATTTTTGCAAAGCTGTCTGTAGGGGTAGCTCTCTTCCTTCAGTGAGTCGGTGAACGGGGAGGGGCGGGGGGGGGGGGGAGTTATTTCTATTTTATGTTTTGTTAAGCTTGCATCAAGGGCTTTTCAAAAAGTACAATAATAAATCCTCAGGTAGTACTGGGAATCAATACTTTACCTGTGAGACTGTTGGTCACACCAGTACTTGAAAGGAGGAATGTTGTAATCAGTCAATATTTAGTTATATTATTGGAAACATGAAAAATAAGTATAGAAAAATGGTAATATATAATGGCTCAGCTGTGTATTTAAGATACAGTATGTGATTGCTTTGTCCCCACTCTTCTCTCCATCACCTGGTAGAATATTGTTCTAAGGCAACATTTGTACCCCCTTTGTATTGAGATGCATGTGAAGTCCTCTAGCGTCCCCATTAAATACCACCTGCTTGAAAGGTGAAAGAACTTATATTTCTGCTTCCTGATGTGCCCAAATTATCTTTGCATGACCCCATCCTTAAGTGGCTGTGGTTCCAAGGGTGTTGCTGAAAGTACCCTGGTTCAGCGATGGACTGATGTGGTGTTTCTCAGATACATGTACTCGCCCAGTACTTGGCATGGTCCCCTCGTGACTCCCCGCGTCCTCGGTGTAGCCGGTTGTTGCGCATGGTTCCCTCAGCCCGTGTAGCACAGACATTCCAGAGAGTTCCAGGGCCCTATTCACACCTCACCCTGCTCGCTCCCGCCGGCAGAGGCTCGGTGGGTTCAGGGCACCACGTCCCACGCTGCAGGAGGGAGAGGAAGAGCCTCTTCTGCAAGAGCTTTGAGCTGCAGAAACCCGGGTTCCAGAACCGGTGGCCCGTTTAAAAACCAAACCAACCAACCCACCTCTATACTCTTCCCAGGTGGGAATATCAAAATTTTAGGCTTGATGGGAAAGCAAAGCATCCTTCCTTTGAATCCAGAATAACTTGCAAATTACTCTAACAAGAGAAAGTTTCTGCAGATGGTGAAGATTTGACCACCCCCCCCTTTCTGCCCCTGTGTTTTGCCATTTCTTCCATCTGTTCCAAACGCAGAATTTGGACCCTCCCCCCAGCCCGGTGAGGTGTGGATAAGGCTTATAGTACTGAACTGTAAACATTTTTGTTTCGATGTCCTGTATATGTATGTAGTAGTTGGGGTGTGTATATACCGTAGCGTTTCACAGTGGGTGTATTGGTTAACCTATTCTTGGAAAATGGACAAATATCCATGTTAAACTTGTTAGAAAGTTAGTGAGCTGCTCTGCTATATGCCTTAAGCAAATATTTACTCATCAGGTCTTTCTTTTTTACAGATTGCCATAGAATAAACTTTTTTAAAAAAAATAAAAAAACAAAAAAGCTAAATGTTTTGGTATAATACATTTTCAGGTATCTTGTCTTTTGTGTAAGCCGCTGCAACGACCTCACAGGTCACAGTAAAATTGTACAGTTTTTCAATTTCCCATACAAGTTTTCAGTTCTCATTTTAGTTGTAACAATAAAATTCTTTTTTTAAAGAATGTACCTGAGAGTGTTATTGCTTCCTCTGCTCTCAGCGCTGCAGCCCCCGGCTGGATTAAAGTACTTACCTTTTGGTATCTATTTTCAAGAAAAGCTACAGCCCTGTCTTACAACTCTTTCCTCTCTGTAGTGAGGGGTAGCGTGGCCTGGGGAAGGAGTGAACTTACCGAAGTAGAACAACTTCTCTTCCCTGCTTTTAAATAAATCTGTAAATTAAAAGCAGAGTTAGAGTGAAGAGAAGCAGCCCGTTAAGTTTTACCTTCCTGTGGAATAGCGTGACCCAAACCTGCTGCTCACAGCCTGACACGGGGCAGAGCAGCAGCTCAGCCTCCACCACCAGCCCCAGCTCCTCAGGGAGAGGGAAGAGAAGGGGGTGTTCCATGTGCTGGTGTCAACCCAAGATGCGTGTCTGCCCCAGCTCCCTCTGGGGGGGTACTGCCCTACACCCAGCCAGAGTGCTACAGGCACATCACTACAAAGCACTTGCAAGAGCTTGTCTCAAAAGTTTTATTAGAATTTTAGAAAACAGTATGAAATCCAACAAATAAATACTGAATAGAAAAGTTATATATATATAAAAAAATATATACACACAAGCCAAACCCTTTCAAGTATTTACCTGAAGCCAGGCACCTCCTTATGGCCACCCTCCACTAAGGGAACTGAGGAGCCTGACACTGGGTCTATGATTATGAGAAGTCTTGGTCTATGACTAAATTAATAATTTCTTTTTAAAAAAAAAAAAGACCTCATCAAAACACCATAGAGCTGTGCACGTGTCCGTGGCACAGACAAGACGTACCTTCCTGTTGAGAACTGCTGGGGATGGACACGGTACAGCCATGTGGCCCTGCTAGAACCTGTCCTAAATTGCAATAATTGCAAAGAAATTGGCTGTTGAAGTAACAAGTTTTCCCTTCCGCAACTAAATAGTACAAAAAAGGAAAGCACCAAGCCCTGGGGCTCGATGTTTCTGATATACACAGCAGCTGATGTAAGTGATCTGTTGTCTGCTGGTTTCTAGATGGACTGTTGGAGAGTGATGATGTCTCTCCTCTTTGAGAAATGCCAAATTAATAACATACTTTGTGGGAAAATAGATCCTATTTGACTTCCAGTTTGAGCAGGGACAGATAAGTCCAGTGAGATGGGGATATTAAAATACTCAAGTGACACCCTGGTTCCATGTTCTAGGAGATCCTGGTTTTTAACCTGTTGAGCACTTCATCCTTCCCCCTGTGCCAAGAGACAGAGCGTCCCACAGTCCCTTTGGTGGGGGCTGGAAGCTGCCCCCCCCCCGTGCCCTGTCCTTGGGCAGGGGGACACAGTGGGGACAGTCACCCAGACACTGAGAAACAACAAAAACCAAACCCTGGGTACCCATTTGTGGCTGTGAGGACAACGTCATTCAGCTCCTCATACTCCACTACTAAAACACGGTGATTTCAATTTCCGCCTCCTGTTGGACGGTTTCTCTCAATTCACAGCAAATCCTGTCCATTTTCTCGAAGGCTTGTCGGCCCTTCTCACCTGGGGAGAGACACAAAACACGTCCCACACTGAGGAGAAGGCAGAAACACCCCCAGCAAAGCCACACTCCAGAAACACTTCTCTCGTGACCTTGTTCAGAACTAACGAGAGCTCCCAGTAGTGACAAACCCAGCTCCAAGGGAAGAGTTTTCCAGAAACCCCCACAGAAAAATGAAGCTGCCTGTAAACATTTCCACAGGAGCAATCATTTGGAACATCACCCTTGGAAAACGTGTTTTGTGACACATGTGAATCCGAGTGTTTCTGTGAAGCAAGTTTGGAGATCCCCAGAACTAAGCATGAATGGAAGTGGTTTCAGGAAGAACAAGAGCAGGGAAATCCCCGCCTCCCAGATGAACTGGAGTCCTCTAGAGCAGCTGGGCATGGAAGGTGTTTAGACCAGACAATTCCCAGCATGATGAGTGTCTGGACAGGGGCAAACTGGGAATGCTCACATTTCATTAGCAGCTCAACTGCCCCATAGATCTGCTGCATTCAGGTGAAGTGACAGGTAATGAACCAGCACAAAACCAGTTTGTGCTCTTTACCCCTGCAGTATGCAGTGTGGAACCATTTGAAGAAGAGTAGGAACACCAAGACTAGAAGTAACTAGTTGGTTTGTAGGTGGCTAGAGGAGATTACGGGGCCCACAGAGTCTGTTGTTGTTCTGCTGTAGAAAAGCTCTCTAAATCCCAGAGCCAGAAGAGGCTTTAATTGTCACCTGCCTGGTTCAAGTGTCCTCTTTACAAAATCTAGGAGAAAGTTGCTGCTGCCAGTACCACTATTAAGACATGTCCCGCAGCACTGTCAGCACTTATCTGCCACCTTTTTAAAAAACTTTAGAGGTTCTTAAAGCACTTTATGCTACAGTAATCTCCTTAGTCTGGTTCTACAAATCTGGTTACTGTGGGTGGTACAAAGCGGATCTCCATGGTATGAAATTGCTGTTCATGAAGTGCTTCCATTGTCCTGACAACGTGTTCAGGCTGCCCTTCAGGCCTGTTCTGGTTCCAGACTATTCCCCATTCCTTTTCCAGAATCCCAATTTTAAAGCCATACAAAAGCCTTACCAAAGGAGAGTGTGGTTTCCCTGGCTGCGTTCCTGACCTCCTCTGTTTCAGACTGGCACAGGTGGGCAACCTGCTCAATGCTCTCCACTCCCTGTTTGAGAAAAGAACCATTTGCATCAGTAGCTTTTCAGCCCATTTGTGATGAACATTTTTACAAGGTGAGCACATACACACTAACTCTCATCTTGCATCCGAGTTCTGCTGTCACCTTTCTTTTCTCCCCCACCACACCATAGCCTGTAGTTAGCTGCTTCTGAGCAGGATCTCAATTTTCTCTCCTTTTTCAGGGCATGGATAAGTGTAAAGGTTCAAGGGTACAATTCAGGGCTGCAGCACCATTAAATGAGCATCGAACAATCAGGACCTTTCACTGACAGAGTTAATGCCAGTTGTGCAAGGCCAACAGTTGCTCTGCAAATCTGAGTTTGGGAATCAGACTCTGATTTGTTGGGCCCGTCCCGCGACTACGTGTTTGCAGCAACTGCACTCGCAGTAATCCCTGGTGTGCAAACTCACTTCTCACACACACACAGCTCTTGGAAAGCTTTAAATCTGTTCTGACAGTTTCCTCTAATGGCAATGCAAACATTGCTTTTATTTTCCAAGGAGAATCAGCTGCTGGTAAAAAATAAAGAACCAATTTCAAATTTTTACAGTTAGAGCTGACTCCATGGATAGCTGACTGTGGGTCGTTTTTCTACATGCTGGACGTCCCCAGTCAGGGACTGTCCGTTGTCCTTCACCACTGAGGATATCACAGAAGTTCAGAAACATCCTTTCTGCGCTGTGCTGTGCCTGCCAGCTCAGCCCCAGCTGCTGCAAGGGGCTGCAGCTCCCTCTGCCTGCTGCCTCTTGTGTGTTACCAGTAACGGTTTGGAATTCTGGCAGCCAAAGATTTCATTAATTCCAAATAGAAGGAAGCTGAAAAAGCAACCCTACCAGCTTAAAAAAACCCCACCTTGGACACATTTTTGTATCTAGTAATTTTGGCCAGACATGCACAGCAAACAGAGCTGTCAATACTTACTCTGAGGTTTTTAAGGGCCAAACACGCAGCTTGCTGAAGTCTTGCATCACAGTCACTTAAAGCATCAGTGTAAAAAAGGAGAGCCTAAATGAAAAAAGAGAACAGAAAAATAGAAGGCAGGCTTTATAAACTTCAGCATGATCAAGTACTCAAATTCCAATGGCCATAAGCACTGTTTTACATGTCTGAGACTGCGTAAAGGCTACCAACAAGTCACTTGAGCAGTGATGGTGCTTTAGGTTCTAGTTAATAGATTGTTGAAGTCCGGAGAGGAGAATAGTGCTATTCTAGGATAAAACAAGTCCTGTGTATTTCAGCATCTATTTAGAAAAGGTGTCAGGAACAGCAGTTTTACCCTTTCCCTGAAGCTCCTGTTGGCCGCGGCGCGGGAGAGGCAGGAGGTGGCAGCTTTGCTGACGCGGTGGTTGTCGTCCAGCTGCAGGGTCCCCAGGAGCCGCAGCGTCTGCGCCAGAGGCTGCAGTTTGTTCAGTCTCTTTCCTTTCAGTTTTTTAAGAGTCTTCAGCCGCCCGGGGCATTGCAGCTCCTCGATCAGCATCACTGCAAGTGAAAGGACTCAGCTTCACCCACTGACAAAAGAAGACCTCATCAAGAGAAGACAAACTCCTCTGAGCTCCATCTCTTGCAGCCACAGGCAGTTATTTCCGTGGCTAACGAGCCAGCGAGCACGGCAGGAAGCAAACTGGGACAACTGCCCCTTTGACCGTCCTGTCTTCTTCCCCTGTCATTGTTTCATTTCCTCTTATGCCAGGACAGACCAACAAATGGTGCAGAGAGGATTATTTCAGTGTTAGTCCACAGGGTGCAGCAAAGTCAAGCTCCTTTCGGGACCTGGGTGCCTGGAGTACAAAGCAGCAAAGCCCTGCTCCTTTCGGGACCTGGGTGCCTGGAGTACAATATACAGTGCAAAAGAACTGCACCTTTGGACAGTAGGACAAGCAGAGTAGCCCTCAAATAAGGAAAACATGATCAAGCGAAATACTCTTAAACATCTCTGATGGATCTAGCTGGACTGGTCACAGAAAAACCCCTCTATATTAAACAAAACAAAAAAAAAAAAAAGAAAGAAAAGAAATCAGGCACTAGATTGACAAGTTTCAATTGGAAGAATATTCCCAGTCTTTTCCACTGACTAGCAATGCACAAGTTCTTAGTCCCCCACCAGATGAGGCTTTTGCATCAAAATAAGACTAAAGATGCAGCCAATATCAGGGACAGCTTTTAAAATAATTCCTGAGACAGACAAAGTTTTAAAGTACTTTCACATGTTGGACTAGGCTTCAGCGAGACACTGGCTACCTCGTGCTAGAAAATGCACGTTAGTAACCTCTGAAATTTTATTGCTATTATCTGTGTCTGATTACAGCTGCAAGAGTCACACGAAGCTACAGACACTTACTCTGTCCTTGAATCCAGCTGCAGATCACTGCCAACTTCAACAGACCATCACAGACCCCACTTTTCAGGGCACTTAGGACAAACCCATCCTTCTCACCTCTGTTTTGTTTCCTACCCGGTAAGACATGGGAGTCAAGCATGTCTTTCCTGTTCTAATTAGACTCACAGGGTGGTAAGGGGAATTAAAATGGCAACAAACTGGCAATGCAAGGGTTGGGCTGTTTCCTGCTCTGAAAGGTTGTGTTCAGCAGTAACCCTGGAAGCAGCCACTGGCTGTTGGACTCGTGTGCTCAAGCAAAGCAGCCAAGTGCTGCCTTTACCTTCTTTTGCGAGTTTCCCCAAGTGTTTCTCCAGGCTGGTGATGTGGTGTTTCTCCAGGTAGCTGTAAAATTGGAATAAAGTAACCGGTTCTGTCTGGAGGTAGGGAGAGGGGAGCAACCCATCACAGGTCATGATCTGTTCTTGCAGCCTCTGCAACACTGAAAGCAACACAGAAAAGAACAAAGGAGAAAATTAAAGAGTGGTCAGATGTAAGCTCCTCAGAACAAAAAAATAAGAGTTTTAGTTGATTTTTAAAATGCACAAGGACCATTGCAATAAAATGAAACCGGTGTGACCTTGTGTTCAAGGAACAGATTGGTACCTGCTTCTAATTGACCAGGGTATTTCTCCTTCACTTTGAGTGTCAGTGTGTATTTCAGTGCATGACAGAATCTTTCTGCTGAAGCAAACAAGACGCTGCCAGGCTCTGCGAGATCACTCCAGATTTTCAGATAGTGCTTCTTCTTTTTAGTCTTCTGAATAACTAAAAAAAAAAAGTTAAAAATAAAAAGACATTTTAGAAAGTTAGTGAGCTCTAAGGGATTTTGGATTTTACATGAGAAATTAGGCAGCAGATGGCATATCTGGAGACATGTCAGCACAATGTGTATTTGCGTTATAGCGATGGCTTTGTTCAAAGCTGCAGATTTGCTGCCAGTACTTTAACATCTGCAGGCGTCCATTTCCCCAAGCTTGGGTTGAGCTCCTTCACTGTTATTATGAGACCTGAATGGGCCTCATAATATGAGACCTGAATGGGCCTCGCAGCTCTCCTGCCTCTCAGTATTCATTTCATCCCAGCATCCAAGTCAAGTTTCAGAAGGGCTTTTGTGAGTTTAACTGTTTCCATTTCTACCAGCAGGAGATGTGCTGTTTCCAAGCCTCGATTTCCCCAAGCTTGGGTTGAGCTCCCTCACTGTTATTATGAGACCTGAATGAGACGCCTCGCAGCTCTCCTGCGTCTCAGCATTCATTTCATCCCAGCATCCAAGTCAAGTTTCAGAAGGGCTTTTGTGAGTTTAACTGTTTCCATTTCTACCAGCAGGAGATGTGCTGTTTCCAAGCTCTTTAGAGATCCCGGCTTACGTACCTCCATGAGTGGAGAACTCTGAACCTCAGGGCACAGGCTGAGGCTTTCTTTCAGCAAGCACTTCAGAAGAGCACTTGAAGCAATACCCTGTGGTTTCTCACCATCATTTAGACCCTGTCATTTCTCACCCTTGCCTATAGAGATGTTGAACTGTGTTCTGCATTTCAGACTCCTACACGTTCCTCATCACGTTGTGCCAAAGGCCCCTCAGAGCCTGGCTCCAGGGAACAGTTTATTCTCACATCCTTCAGGATAAAATCTGTCAGCAAATGCTTCCAACTAAAATTTGCATTCTTGCCACTGAATTTACCAAGATGGGAACAAAAGCCTTCAAAGTCTCCCGTGGAGCCTTTATCACTTTGTCACACCCAACAGTCAATGGAAGAGTTGAGCAGGGGGAAGGCCTGAGAAAGGAAAAATCACACACCAAACTTCTCTTGCAAAGATGTAGAGAAGCTGGGCTGTTTGCTCAGCAAGTAAAAGCATAGATATAAAAGAGGATTTTATTGAGGCTATTCTGCCATTCTTTAACTGCAAACTCCATCATCAATAACATCTCTGTTTCTAAGACACACCGGGGTTCAGCTACTATTTCTCTGAGCCAAACTTCTTCAAATCTTTTCCTTCCTTCCAGGGGAAAGAAACCCAACCAAATAACAAGCCTTGTTCTTTTCTAAGAATCTAGGTATAAAAGCTGTTTTAATTATATGAATATTTGTTAAGGAATTTGGAATGAAACCCCGATGTGTCTGGGGAAGCTCCGAGTTACCTGTACCTCTCACACCTCTGGCATGCCTTGGAATAATGCAGTTACTCACTTTCTTCAACAGACATATCCAAGACGTCCCCCAGGACTCGTGTCTGCTCTGATACTTCTTCCAAAATGCTCTCTTGGACAACCTGGGCTACATTTGGCGACCTCAGTTTCTGAAATGCAATATGCTTATCTTAGTAGCTGAAACAAAGGCACTATCAAGCTCAAGACAAATGAGGATTTGTTTTTTAGAATCAAACTTCTAAAATTTGTGAAAAAACAACAGCTGCTCTCAAAAGGCTTCTTTTCCAGTCACAGCACAGACAAGTCACTTGTGAGTGCAGAGCTGCTCAGCAGACAGAAGAGTAAACCATGTTATGGAGGAGCAGGCTGTCTGGCATTTGACATTCTTCTCTGCCTCTGCCCATTGACAGCTCTGCAGAGACCAACACCAGCAGTGACACTGTCCTCAGCTGCCCGGCCTCATCAGAGGCAACACTCGAGGACAATAATGCACCTGAGCACTATAACCAACATTAATTGAGGAATGAGGTCTCATGGGGAGAGAAGAGTTTTTTTCTGGACCCACACGCAAGCAGTCTCTGCAGTTTCTCTCCAGTAGTAGCAGCTTTTCATTCACTAAAAACCTGATCACCTGTTACCAATACACAATTCAACCCAAATCTGTCCTACTGCAGTAGCAGCCAGCTTTGGGCACAAAGGTATTATCAGCAAAACCCAGAGGCTGAAAAAAAGCAGCAGAGTTTTGTATGACAAGTTCCCTGCATACACAAGTACACACTGCGTTTTTTGGACTCAATTTCTATTCTGAGTCTTTCTGCTTCTACTAAAGACCCAGCTACACATTCCCTTTTGTCTGTAATGAGACTCAACAATTACGAGTGGCCTGGAAACCCATAGGTATTCCTCACCTGCAGAAGAGCTTTGCAGAGCTTCAGATGAGTTATCAAAAGTGTGTCTAAGTTGTCATCACCAGTAGTTACATCTCTTGTCTCTGTTCTTGTGTCACAGCTGAGGGATTGAAGCGTGTTGTCATTGTATGTGCTATTGAGAATAGGGGGGAAAAAAACCCAACAACTCATCACTAAGTAAACATGAAGATGTGCAACAGTAGCCTTCTAGCAAGTTGCAGAAGTACAAACCAGGTTATTTAATGATAACAGCATTTTTAATTGCATTTATAATACTTCTTAAAAACATGAGGACTTTATTTCTAAAACTCATTCCAGGTCAGTAATACCAGATCAGCTGATGCCACAAAATCCCATTTTGGAGAATCAAAACTAGTAAAAGATGCTTCCAGATAATGTGAATTGAGCTGCTGGCTCATTTGCAGTGGGTGAACTGCAAAAGCAGCACACAGGATAAATCCCTTGGTGTTCTCCCAACTAGACAAGCCTGGGAGTGTAGTAAGTCTCCCAGGGTCAGGCTTGCAGCTCTGGAACAAAAAATTCAGTGCTACACAACTTGCAAATTACAAAACTGAATTCAAAAGAAGGAAGAGGTAGAAGAGCTCTGCAAGGTACTCGCAGCTCTCCCTCACTAGTGCAGAACCTTCAGCACCTTCCTGGTAAGGATAAGCCTGTTTCTTGCAGTCCCACACGTTAGGCTTTCTACCGTGTCCTGCAGGTGACATCCTGCAGTGTGTCCCATAAGTTCACTTCAAGTTTCCTGCCATTTCAATCAGGTAGGAATTATGAATCACAGAGTATCCAAAACCAGTGGTTTCTACCCTGAATGTTCATATCGATGGCAGTTCCACACAATCCTTACTTTGCCAGTGTTGGTGGGATCAGCCCCCCTCACCCTTGTCCCCTGCAATGAAGTGCTGCAGATCCATACCTGATGCTGGCTGTTCTTATGCTTCCAAACAACGAAAGCTCATCAGCGCTACAGTCAGCGTTTAGAAAGTCAAAACTTTCCAGCACCGTCTCCACCATTAAACTTTCCATAGATGAATGTTTGTGATGAGGTGCCTTTAGCTGTTGGGGGAATGGAAGGAAAAATACTGTTATTTGCAGTTATCAAGCAGTTTTGCAGTTCTTTGCTGGTTTTCACATTACTCTTAATAACAAATCAATTTACTTTTCTGATTTCATACTTAACACATCAGGAAAGTTAGTTCTTGGTATAGCACTGATAGCGAATTAAATTCAAAACATTCTTCAATATTTTAATCTGTCTGTATTCCTTTTTGGATTTCCAAGCCTGCTAAGGTTAGTATGAGAGCTGATTTTCTCTGCATCTTCTGCCATTACTGCAATTTTCACTTATTCCCTGTTTCAGATCTAGAAGTAGCAATTCATATTTCTAAAGTGATTGCCCCAGAAAAGGAAGACAGTGCACTTTTGTTAACATCATTTATTATTCCAGCCCTTAGAGCAAGTCTTACAGTATCTTATCACACAAGATACTGCACTCTGGCCCTGTCTGCTACAAAGCTACCAAATTTGCAGTATAACCCACTGCTTGCAGAAGGCTCTCCTCCAGGATCTCTCTTCTAAAGAAAGAATTTTCTTCAGCATCATATGACTTGTCAGACAGACTGAGCTGCCTACACAAACTAGGTGATCCTGGAGAAACATTAGGTTTGATGAACTGACACGGTCATCTCAAGGTATACTAAATTTGAAAAACATCAGAAAAATTAGAAGCAAACCAAAATGCAGAGGTTCTGACATTCAGTTTGGATTCTGCTTAGCCCAGACTACTTTCCACCTTTACTGCATGCAGTTTCTTAGTTTCTTTTTCCAGACTCTTTGATCTGCACACAGCATTTGAAGGCTGTCTCTAGTAGGTGCTGTGTAACATAGTACTCCTGCGTCGCTGCTTCTCAAGGCTGCCTTTTCCGAGTAGTGCCTGACCTCTGGTGGCCAAACTTACTTTTTGGGAACATGCCATCAGTACATCATGAAGTCAAATCCACCACAAGATCACAGGACATCTACAGTTTCAAGAGTAACAGTGGAAGCTACACCATCTACCAAGAGTAAAACACTACCATACCTTTAATTTATCCCTCAGAGATGAAACCTGGTATTCCAATTTCTCCAGTTGGGCTTGCCCCACATTATGTGATTTCAGCAAATTTAACACTTCTTGGAGAGTCTTATCAATTGACTTTGTATGTCCATCTAGTTTCAGGTCATTTGCAGCATTCAAGCTTTTCTGGCTAATGTCTTGCTCTGTCAGACAGCGATTTCTGGTCTGGTTGAAAGGATCTCTGCTACCTTTGTGACGATTCAGAAAACCAGGTGGGTTGTTTGGCAATCCGTCCGCACATGGAGTCTTCTTCAGGATATCTAGAGTCGTGCGATTTGGAAGAGGATGCTGTTGCTCTTCTGCACCAGTCTCTTGAATAATCACCGATGGCAAAGTCCCGTGGTCTAGACCTGGAGTTGTATTTCTGGATTCTGTCCCTTTCTGATCCTCGGAGCTGAAGGAGTCTGCCTCGCTGGTCTCTGCAGGAGTGTGGGGCTTGCTCCTCCCGTGTACATCGAAATCACAGGCAGCCAAGTAGCTCAATATGCTGGGAGGGCGAGCTTCATCCGTGACATCCCCTTGGTTCTGCCTTTGCTGCAGAAGAGACTGCGGCAAACAGACTCGTAAGAGAGCACGCAGACAACTGAAAAGCATGAGATACTGCCTGAGATAGAGAGCTATGGTTTCCTGTTCTTGGAAACCTACGCACCCAAACTGATCAAAACCACAGGGCTCTTCTGCACAAGAGAGCCAGGTCAGCATGGACTGGACAAAAAAAACCATCGAAGCAAAGTACGAAGAGCCTACTGGATGAGCTGAGTGGAGCAGTAGCAACTCTGCTTTACATCTTTCAGAAAAAAAGCTACCAAGAAAGCTAAAAAATTGTTTCTGGAAAAAAAGAATCTTGCCAAGCAGCTTTTATGTCACATCAGCTCAGGACAGGATGTGAACGTAGTGGTTAGAGGAAATGTTCATTTTTAAGAGTCCAATATACCCTGTACAAGCAATAAACCTTTCTGAAGAAGGCTGCATATTCTGCTGCTTTGGTGAGACAATGCCAAACCTGACTTAGACTTGATGTTAGGGGAACATATGTGCAATGTTATCAGTATTTGGGCTGTATGGCAGAATTAACAGGATTATACAAACCACTAAAACAAAACCTTCTTCAGTGAATGAGAAGGAGGACAGGGTTTTCTATTCCCCTGGGCTACACAGACTATTAGAGCAGATGCCCACATCCCTACCATTCTGGCTGCCAAGAGGAATATTTGGCAGAGTTTGGGTTTTTCCTTCCCCTTTTCTTTTATAAAATCTAAACTAGAACTCAAAAGAAAAAAAACCAAACAAACAACGAATCCCCAAAATAAACTGCAACAGCCTTAGAGTGCTGCGTTTTTCCATTTCTGAGTGTGTTCTTCAATAGCCAAATCTAATCCAAAAATCAAGTCTGCACTTTGCATTTTGCTCTCCTCAGCATACTCACCAGGTAGTATTTCTCTCTGAAGCTGGGAGTGTTTGGTGGAGTCCAGTTGTACAAAGAGCTCTTCCTGCTGCCCACAGAAAACTTGGCAGTGGTTCCAGGGGACAAAAACAGGTTCTCTGTGTCGAAGGGGCTGCAGCAGAAGACACAAAGGCTTAAGTGTCAGTAAGACCAGAAAGCACAGAAGTGTTTGGCAGCAGGAACAGCTGTTGGGATCTGAACTGTGACATTTAATAATCAACATAGGGAATAAAAGGACAGAGAGACTGCCTCTCTGACCAATGCCTTTGACTGCACCAGCAGAGAAAGAGGTAGGTGTAAAGGTTGTGTATTTTACACTGAATTCTCAACACTCTTTAGACAGAGACCTGTGTCACAATCTTTCTGTAGCCTGTGCCATACTTGCCAGCGCTGGTGTCCGTGCAGACATACACCATACCACATCGGAAGGAAATATAATACATGTAATAAAGGAAAACTGTCATTAATTTCCCTCCTACAGAGCACACACCACCTGGAAAAGCCACTAAAACAGCTTCATTATCCTCCAAATATTAACAAACAACTCCTTTGGCTGGCAGAGGAAGCTTGTGCAGTGGTATATGGCAAGTTATGTGGTTCATATAGTAACGGATGAGCCCAGTTACAGCCCCAGAGGATACTGGCTCTGGTCCAAAAGAGTTTTACAAGCATCGCTCCAAAGACTTCACAATTATCTATTACACAGAATCATAGAATACATCACAGCCACTAATCTCCTAACTCTTTTGCAAAGCAGTCTAAGGAAACTTGGACAAACTGTTTCTCAAAATGCAACTCGGCTAACCAGAAGAGGGAAAATACATTTAAAGTTAAGGAAAGCAAGTTTATTTTTTCTGCGTATAACTTTTGTTCCCTGCTGATATGCCTTGTGGCACCAAAGGAAAGTTTGTTTTTCCACTTAAGCTCTGCCATTTTGAAAAAAAGTGAATTGTTTATAACAAATCTAATCTCACAGATACACATATAATGATCAAACAGTAGGACAAAGTCAGCTGCATTTAGCTGTGCAATATAGAACCACTGGAAGTCTGAAAAGATCCAAACAATAATGAGGACAAATCAATTACAGGGAATTGAACTTCTGCTCTCTAGCAAAAGTTGAAAAGCAGAGCTCCATTCTCCTTGGCTTCTCCTGTTGCACAGGGACTATTCCCAGCAGCATCCTGCAGCGCAGCACACCGCTGTCTTCCTCAGCACGGGGGTAACACTCTGTGAGCTTGCCTAATACAGGTTAATTGGCTAAATTAACCAGTGTCACCCAGCTGGGGCTCATCAAACAGGCCAGTTTCATGCAGTCACATTAACAACCGTCTGCATTGTCTCACTATGCAAAAAATAAATCAGGTTTCTGACAGTAAGAGCCTTTTAGCCAAAGCCTGCTATGTTTACTGCTGGAAGCAAATTACTCCCATCATGACTTTTCTTTAAGAAGAGTCACATGGACCTATTTCTTAGATTTTTCGGTTTTAGCTTTTAATACTGTAATGCAAAATGACACTTTGGAGGAAAGGGACAGAAATAACAAGCTAAATCTGTTTTGCCTCTTTGACAGTTACTGAAACACTGCAACAAAACAATTATTCAACTGCCCTCCAGACAAGCACACGCTCCTTATGACTGCAAGATAAGAAGCTAAGAAAGCAAGGCAAGGATGAAGGAAAGAATGAAGTCTGCTCTAAAGCATCTATTATCTCTTGACTGTAACTCTTTGGGCATAACCCATTATTTTGTTCCACATTTGTTCAGCAAACGAAACATCATACTGGAACAGATCTATGAATCCATTTCTCCCAGCACCTTGACACTGACAGAAGCCAGTAGGGGATATTCAAGGGAAAAGCATAGGAAATAAGTCAAATATAGTAGGCTTTCCCCAGACACATACTCAAATTTGAGGCAATCCATACCTTAGATCTGTCATGCACCAGACTTTGCAAGCAGACTACGGCCTTTAATTGTCACACATTTTCCTTAGTTTGTCTAGTCACTTCCTGCAATCATTGACACAAAAATCTCTGCGTAGGTCAAAAGTACACAGAAGTTTCATTATTTAACTTCACATTGTGGAACAAATACTTTGACTTGGAAGGGTCTCTGTGGCTGTACAGGGAGAAATGATGGCTAATCATTTCCTTTCCACATTCTCCACAGCCAACACCTATATGCTGTACAGTGTTACCCATCAACACCCTTTCAAGGCTGAAAAATTCTTTTAATAAAATGGAAGCGGCCCCACCTCTCTGATCACCTTTTTTGTTCCCATTCTATTTCTATATTGCCAAAGATGTTAGCCTTGGCTTGTAACTAATTACAACATTGGCCTTAAATGCACAACACTACAATGCCATCATTGGTAAGGCCAATGTAAATGCAGCACATTAACTCTCCTTTAGGTTTCCTTAGCACCACTGCAGGACTTCCATGTCCAGGTCCTAAACACACATGCCCAGCCTGACCCTGAAGGGTTTACAATTTATCAGAGCTCATGTGTCCTAGATTGAGCCTCCCACAACACCAGAAGCTTTCCATCCACACACAACCAGAGGTGCCTCAGCCTTGCCAGCACTGAGCATGGATTCCCAGTGCAGTATGATTTTGTCATAATGACCAAACCCGTGGAGGGATGAAATACTTGAAATTGCCACCATTTCCCTCACCCTGCTGCATTTTTGTATTGGGAGTGTAAGGAGGACACTTCCTGGTCTATGTTCTCAGAGGAACAGAAGTAATCAGGCAGAGCATGTAAGAGCTGAACTCAGTCTTCAGCCCCAGAGGATATGCATTCTTTTCTCCCACTGCCAAGACTGTGCCCTTCTGCCCAGTTTCTCCAGGTATTAATTACCACCAGACCAGAAGGGTTCATGGTGGATAGACCTCTCTGAATCCTACTTCCATTAATAAAAAAAAACCAAACCAAAAAACACCCATAACACAATTCTGATCAACTGCATTGGACTTACTGTTAATCATGAGTTTGCTTTTTTTCCCCCCTAGTGAAAATGCCCACGCAATTTTAACAGTGTGATTTCTCCTACCCATTAAAGCATAAAAAGCACTAATTTCAAGGTTAGCACAGTTTACCACAAGACAAAGCTGTGAAACATCACTTCCATCAAAGGTGGAGGAGATGCATCAATGGACTGCTGCCTACAGATACCTGCCTGAGTAACTACTCATTCATGTAAGTTCTCATCCATAAGAGCAAGACTGTCAGTAGATATGTATCCAAAAAGACAGACTTTCCTTTTTTATTCTCCATTAAGCTTTTCTTTTTCTCCTACCCCACAAACCCTTGTGAGCCAGGCCAGCACATGCTCAAAGAGGGTCAGAAATTACATGAGCAGTTCTGGCTGGCTGGTACCCTTAGATCCCAGCACGGGGTGCTAACTGAAGTTCTGAGAGGAGAATACAGGCTTTCTCTTTGTCCTTCATGCAAGACAGAATTCAGACTGCTGTTTAGGTTGGCAAAAAAAACCAAAGTCTCCTGCCAAACTGGCCAACAAAGCTGTTCTGCAACAGGCCCGAGCTCATTCACACTCCTCATGGCATAATCTGTAAAGGAGTTGAAGGAACTTTTGTTAGAGCCCAGAAGAGTAGTGGCCTATTTAAGGAAAATATACATTTAGAAGTGGAAGAGAGATCTGCATTTGGATTTCTTACAAAGCAGGTCTAGACTGAAAGCTCGCACCTCAGGGAAGTTTGAGCAAATCAGCTGCATTTGTTTAGTTATTCTTAAATCAAAGGAAAAAGCAGCTGTTATTTTGAGTGCTCTATCTTTGAAAATAGAAACACCCCGAGTTGTCACCACACAACTTCGCTTTTCTGTAAACAACTTCAGCAAACAGGCTGTCAGAGAGGAGGAGACTGCCAGTTCTGTGCAGAAGTGCTCTGGAGAATCCACTTGGTAGGATACCAATGCATTTCACAAAACTTAAACACAGCAGAGACACGCAGACGGAGTTTTCTCATATGCTGAAAAATTCCAAGTGGGGATTAACTCCCAAAGAAAATGCATCATCGCTCACCCTGCTCCCAGCTCAACTGTTGCCAACTCTAAAAGCTGGGTGATGGTTGTCCCAAATGCCACAGAACTGCTCATCTTGCCCATGAAAAGCTGTGCTCTGAGCTGCAAACTATTCCAACAACTAAGAGTCAACATAATTTAAATTGCTTTTTTTTTTTAAGAACATTTAGTCTCAAATGTCATTTGCTTTGGAGATTTAGATGTTATCTGAGAAACTATGCAATATCCCAGGAAATGAAGGGGTTTTTCGTTGTACAGTCCTCTTGGAAGAGCAACTAAGGCTTATAATTATTTATGCAAGTTATGACAGTGAGGAAAGGCAAGCAAGCAGATCCAGCAAAAGTAAATGAAGAGCATCTATCTGTTAGGTGCCGTTTGCGTGGGTCAACAAGAAGAGAGTTGAAGTGATCTCTTCCAGACTCCACTATGAATGTACCATCTGCTAAGACAGATTTTATACCAGTTCAGTAAAGAAAGTATGCCTCCTTTGCTGCACAAGCATAGCTTCCTCAGACATCAGGCTTGAAATCATAGGGAAAAAGGACTTCCCTTAGGGAAAAGCATCTCTGCAAGCAGAGGGTTGTGCCTGCAGACCTTTCTGCTCCAAGCTCAGTGTAGAGCTTTTGATCATTTTACATCCAGATTGAAGCCAATGCAAACTTTTGTGGTGTGTGTCTGTTGAAGGGTGAGAGATGACAAATAAAAGCATCAGACTTTGCTGGGGATATATAAGAGCCTATACATCCCCCTGTGCCCCTCTTTTCTCCTTCCTTCCCCAATGCTAAGACATGCCAATGTCAAACAGAAGAATATTTTAATTGGCCTTAATTTAAAAGGACTGTCATTTTAAGACCTACTTTTAAGCAAATATATAGTGCAATTTGCACCATCTCCATTCCACACGGTTTTCAATAATTCTACCATAAATGTCTCTGCTTTCAGATTGAAATGGGAATACATACATAACTTGGCCTGAGCAAGAGGAAGGTTCATAGAGCATATAGTGCAAGATCACAGCTAGCTTCTGGAATGAGGCTTTGTTACTTAATTAATTAGTGGCTCAGCTTCTCAAATAAGAAACAGAGGCCTCAAAAGCCTCAGAGCAGCTGCAGCACCTCACCAAAACAAAACATGTACTGATGCCCATTGTTAGATCTCAGGAGGAAAAAGTGTCATAAACAAAAGGTGTGGGCAAAACTCTGCTGTGTGTTTATTTCTCATAGACTTCAAGCGATGTGTGTGTTTCAAAACAGTTTTCAGAAGTTGTTGCCAAGACTCATGTTTCAGCCTAATTTCAAGTACAAATCAACAGTAAACTTCAAGAACCACAGCATACACAAAAGACATTCAGAAGACAGTATGTTGAACAATAAAGCTTTTCTTTCCCCAAGCCCTGATATGCAACCTGAAAACTGTTTATCAACACTTGAAGAGGAAACCCAACAGAAAACCTGTGGCATTTCTCCAGTTGGTGGCTTAAAAGACTGTGACAATTTTTAAGTCAAACAATGCTTCCAAAGGTAATTAGAAGTAGAAGCAGGGTATTAAGACCTGAAAAATCAAGTCTGATTGTAAAATACATTTGTCTATTTTACTCTACAGGCAGGGAAACTTTTCTCTTACTAAAAGATCTGTTTGGCTCATGGGCACATTTGATAGACCACATATTCAACACTTAAGTTTTGGTTGGTTTTTTTTTTTTTTTGTGTATAATTTTTAAGAAAACAAGAAACCAGCACAGCCAGAGAAGAAGAGTTGTATAAGGCTGAATCATAGGTGCCTGCCAAGGCACAGATCCCTGCCCTTCCTAATCTAAACAATGTTCAGTCTCTGCTTTTCCTGGAGAGGGCTTAGATCCACAAGTCAAAATGGCCTTCCAAGAATGTCCTTATCATGGTGGTGTGTTCAACTGCCTCTTTGCCACATTGGGTTGGGAAGAACTGAGGACTGCAGTAAGCCATCTACAAAAGCAGAAGTGAAGAGCACCCATTGTTCAATCAAGCACTTCACTAAGATGGCTAGATGTAACCCCTTGACAGTAGGGGTTTAAACAGGTTTAAAGGGTTTCATTTGTTGCATACAAGACTTTCAGTATGGACTGACAGTCTCATAAACAGGAACAAGAGTACTACCTCAAAAATCTATGGTGGTGTGTCTAAAGTGAGGAAGAAGTTCCAGTGCAGCATCCACAAAAGTGAGAATTTGCTTTTAATAACATCAGTAATCCACTACAAAAATTGATTTACAAATTTAAATTATAAAACAATTCCAAAAAATCACAGGCACCATAAAAATACTCATCTCTTTTAAAAGTGCATCTGTAACCAGGATTCCCTGTAGCACACAGACCTTATATCAATAATTATAATCACAGTGCAAATATGAAGGTGCTAAGTCTTTGGGAAAGCTTAATTTTGAACAAATTGTGGCCCGGTAATAGTGATTGTCTTTCGATTTCAACTATGTATTTTTTTCATTGTACCTAGAAGCTGCTATTTTCAGCTTCATTTCATTACCTTTAAGATTATTGTTCATGTTTTATAGATGTACATACATTGCTTGGAGCTAGACTTGAACGCTCATTGTGAAGAGCAGTGAGCTAAGTTAAAGCCTACTAGGAGTTCGTGTGGCCAGCCATGGCTCTGGTAACACCCACACCAAGAACTACAGGTTATAGAAATAGCTTCTGTGCCTTCCCCCCTCCCTTCCCTTCATGAAGACTGGTCCCACAGTCAGAGATCAGGCACAGTAGCTGGGGTTGCTGCGAGGAAGCCTGTGGCTGCTATCTATCCTGCACCTGCTCTGCAATGGAAAGAGAACTGTGATGTTGAACATTACTAAGTGATATACTTCAGAGCCTTGAATTTATTTCAAATCTTTAGCTCCAGCTTTTTTCATTTGAAGCTGTACTTACTTCCAGAGGACCTCCAGCTGTAGCTTGATGGTGCCCAGTTCAGTTATATCCACAATGATTGCCTGAGGCTTGGTTGTAAAGAAGTTTATGCTGTCACATGTCACGACACCAACTAGAATAGTAGCCAGTCCTCGCAGCTCTGTCACCTGCAGGGACAGACAAACATACCCATTTTCATCTTACCAGACGAGCCTAAGTTGTGTGCATGCAAAGGATAACACACAAGGCTCACAGAAAACTTTAAATCTTGATACTAAGTTCTGGGCTCCTAAACTGTTGTAAGCCAGTATGCCACAAGGAATGTGTCACAGATGGCAAAGAGGAAAAGAGTTCTACTATCTGGGGAAAGACAGAGCTGTACAGCACTTCTGACAGCAGGGTTTGGTAGACTATGACTTTAAGAAAAATTCTAGCTGTGGTATACATACAAGTAGTTGTCATTTATAGTAGAGGGGTTAGCTCTCTCTATGTATTAGAGCAACACTGTTATAAAAAATATACAGTGCAGAGAAGTTTATAAGCCTACCTAGACTCTTTCAGCTCACAATTGCCTAAAGGATCTGGAAGCACAACTGTCTGTACCCACTGTAACATTTCTAACTGTCCTGAGCTCAGCTGTGGACCAAAATCAGAACTTGTGTCAGTTCTTTCCTCTAGCTCTGCAGGTGGCTCCGAGTTTGTTCTCAATGCCGTTACAGACTTGAGTTTTTCCCAGGCTGGCACTTCACTTCTTCAGCTACTTAAAAAAAATAATCTAATCAAACACTTGCTATAAAAACATACTTCCAATTGAAGATCAAATTGTTCTGGAAGTGCACAAAGCATCAGACAGCACAGAATTTTAGCACTAGTGCTTAAGGCCCACTTCAGGAATTCATTACATGCCTACATCTCCTTTAAGAGCTAGCAGAAGTTCTGTTACCAGGCTCCTCTTGGAACACTCTTTGGCACTTTACGTATATTTTTTTTCCTTTTTAAACCTGCTATGCATTTGTACTGGGCAAAGATTATTAACTACAAAGTAGAAAGAGCCGGAGAGTGTGGAGAATATTAGTCAGTAGACTTTCATAAGCTGACAAAAAGAGTAAAACTATCATTGTCATATAAAGTAATACAAGTTTTTACAACTATTATGGGAAAACAGGGATCTGAATTAGCCTCTCACCTGATCTCCATTGTGCAGTGGCAGCAAGAAAATGTGTTATAAGCACATTTCCAAAGGCTATGCTGACAAGATGCCAAAGAGTCCCTCCTACGTAACCCAGTTCTTGCTGCCAGATAGCAGAGGAACATTGCAATGGCTGCTTTAACACAGCTGTCAAAACTTGAAACCCTGCACTGGCACAGTTTCCTGGTAGAATAGGATCCAGCTCAGCCCTCAGTCTCAGCTCCTTTTAGGCTGACAGGCGTCACGCTGCAGAGTGAAGCCCATGAAAGATGCCAGACTACAGTGGAAGTGCTGTTTAAGGATTAGCTCCACCAGCCAGGTAAGTGCCAGAACCAACGCCAGCTTCAGCCTCACAGGGGTCTATGGAAACTACAAGCTTCCCCCGAGGGGTACCAACAACATGTCATCTATGTATCACAGGCCACTAACACAGGTCCCTTACTGTTAAAGATGTGACCTCTTCTGAGGCACTTTTTTAAAGTGTCAGAACTCTAAATAAAGATATTAAGTACAGACAGGTTTTACCAGTATATAAGTGCTATTTGGTTCTTGGCAGATACAAAATCATAGGATTGCTTAGGTTGGAAAAGACCTTTAAGGTCATCAAGTCTAACTGTTAACCCGACACAGCCAAGTCCACACCAAACTACGTCCCTCAGCACCACATCTACTTGTCTTTTAAAGAACCTCCAGTGGTGGTGACTCAACCACTTCCTTGGGCAGCCTCTTCCAATACTTGACAACCCTTTCAGTGAAGAAATATTTCCTAATATCCAGTCTAAACCTCCCCTGGTGCGACCTGAGGCCATTTCATCTCATCCTATCGCTTGTTAGTTGGGAGAAGAGACTGATTCCCCCCTTGCTATGATCTCCTTCCAGGCAGTTGTAGAGAGTGGTAAGATCTCCCCTCAGCCTCCTTTTGTCCAGGTTGAACAACCTCAGTTCCCTCAGCTGCTCCTCATGCAGCTCCAGAATTGTGCTCCAGCCCCTGCACCAGTTTCATGGCTCCTCTACTGGACTCACTCTAGCACCTCGATGTCCCTCCTGTAGTGATGGGCCCAAAACTGAACACAGTACTCGAGGTGCAGCCTCACCAGTGGCAAGTGCAGGTGGACAATCACTTTCCCAGTTCCTGCTGGCCACACTATTTCTGATGCAAGCCAGGATGCTATTGGCCTTCTTGGCCACTTTTGCACACTGCCAGCCCATATTCAACTTCCTGTTGAGCAACAGTCTCTGGAGTAAATCATGACCAAAAAAATCCACAGTACATCCAGGGTAAAGGGACATGTGAACTACACTTTCAGAATATACATGTGTGCAATGATATGCTTTCCATACATACATTTATCTTTTTCAGTGGCCAACAGAATTCCACATACTTAATATTCCACATGGGGGATGTACACATACACATCTTTTTGTCTCCACATCTAAACTTCAGCAGATGCACTAATACAGTTACAAGTGCAAGGAGCGAAGGACAAACAGGAGTAGATGTCTGTTTAGTAGGCAGAACACTGGTTAACTGCCATTTTCATATTTATCTTTTTCAGTGGTGAACAGTTAATATTCCACATGGGTGATGTATACATACACATCTTTGTCTCTCCACATCTAAACTTCACCAGCAGATGCACTAATACAGTTACAAGGGCAAGGAGTGAGGGACAAACAGGAGTAGATGTCTGTTCAGTAGGCAGAACACTGGTTAACTGCCATTTTTGCAAGAAAACTTCTTAAAAACTTTGTCAAATGCTTGGCAGCCTCACAGATTAGTATAGCAGAAGACCTGTTAACCCACTGATTCCAATAACAAATGCTTGGCAGCCTCACAGGTAAGTAGTATGGCAGAAGACCTGTTAACCCACTGATTCCAATCCAACCATTATACACCACACCTTGATTTCAAACTTCTCATGGAGATTGGGTATAAAAATCTTTTCTTCCTCATCCCACGTTTGGCTGTCATCTGTCTCAATTTTGCCTTTCAACCTCCATTTTTGGCGTCCCAGTCGCACAAACACCTAGAAACCACAAAGAAAAAAGGTTGTTGGGTCAACATATCCCAGAATGTTCCCTTCAGTCCATAGACCTCACGCTGTTCCAGTACTGCAGGGGCAAAGCCACTCCTTTGGTCACTATACATTTAGGAACTTGGATAAAGCTAGAAGATTGGAGGCAGAAATTCAGGTTGCAGGTTTTAACACCTTAACTCAGTGCCAAATGACACATCCCACCCATTCTAGAAGAACTGCAAAACTAAGTTGCATAGCAAGTGTTGCAGCAGTGAAACACAAGGCACACGAATTCATTTGCCAGTGTTAGAAGTAGGAGAGCAATGCAGTAAGATATTAAGATGCGTTCAAATCACACTGAGGTCAATCTTCCAAGAAATAGGCGGCAACTGTTACTTGATTCTAGGGCAACTTTGAAGACAAAGGTCTGACAGGTTGGTTTTGATAGACAACCACTGCCATCTTTTAAACCCTCTCATAACACTGGAATCCCATCTTTCCCTCTTCAGTCTCAGAGGGCAGAGTAACTAGCAAATGTGCCAAAGTGCTGCTCTCATCAGAACAGTGCATGTTTTTATCATAGTCTGTTTCTTGCTTGCCTTCTACATGTTACACCCTTGCTCTCCTGTTCCTCTACTGCAAGCTCACAGCATTAAAATAGAGGACAAAATGAATTGTGGTATACTGCACCTCATACTGGTCCCCTGGGCAGAGACGTGCGAAGCCCACCAACCCTGAAAAGAGAAAGAAAAATCCTAATACTTGTAGAGATTAAAAAGACCCCCAAAGCCTCAGCTTACAATAAATAAAGCAACTAACACCCCCCTGTGCTCAACTCTGCAGAAGCCATGCCACCAGCCCAAAGTACTTTTAGAGTGACAAACTTTAATTGACCTGAGGAAAGACAGATTGTCAGCTTTGGTACTCAAATATCAAATACCATTGCAGATCTGTTTTACAGCACTGAAGCAAACAGAAGTCTGCTAAAATTCTGTTCAGGGTCGGATCCAGAAAGCCAGTGGAAGGAACTGACATTGAATAATGGATCAGATTGCTACATAGGAAACCCAAAACCAATGGGTGAGTCTTGAATGAAACAAGAAAGGAACGTACCTTTCATCTTCAAGTGAAACTCTCCCAAATGGACCTCCAATGCCCCTTCTATAAAGCACATGTCCTAGAAGAAAGACTGAAGAGTCACTATGACTGAAGAGTAGCACAGAGCACCTACCTTCCCATACATACTGTTTTCTTATCTTATCTTTAAAGGACTTTGGCTCTTTTTTTTTTTGCCACTCCACAGAAGAGTGGAACATAACATAGCTTATTCATTATTCAGTTCTCATACCAACTTCCAGTGGAAGTCACAATGGATCCCAGTATTAAAGCAGAAATTCAAAGAATTTTTCACTTGTCTTCATGAATGCATGAAGCCAAGTTGAGTAGGGGCAAAAGAAGGGCATAGAAATATAGAGCTTTCCCTGTAAGGTATTTATCTCCCAAGCTTCAGTTCACATTATATACCTGTATTGCATTTACACATTAAGTTTTTAACCCACACCATTAAAAAGCAGCCAGCAGCAAGTGCTAGTACATTTTTTGCTGAGGCACAGTCAGGTCTTTGTTACATGGGTGTAGTATTTCCTACCTCTGTGCACTCTTGGAAGTTCTTGTAAAGCTCCACTAGGCTCTCTCTGGAGGCTTTGGTGGAAGGAGACAAGGAAAAGGCATGTTTCATATTAGTGGCCCCATCTCGTAGCCTGCACTGGATACAGTAAGCTTCATAGAGTTCTTCTACCTTGAAGATTTGGGAAGTTGAGGAAAAAATGAACAAGAATTACCACGGCTTAGTTTTAAATAAGTTTTGGAAAAGAACATCAGCAGTCTTTCCTGGCAAAACCCCAAACAAATCCCATTGTCATAGCATTGCAGAATACTGTAAGTCCTGCATTTTACAGACTGATTAGAGTACAACAGTTTGTAGCTATTCCTACAAAAAAACATGGGATATTAAGAGACAATTTGGTCTGCTATTATCAGACTAGAAGACAAGGAGTAGAGCAACACTTTGTTCAGGGAAATATTACCTGGGGAGCAGGAAATTGATTCCCTCAATACAGATTAACACACCTACACCTTTAGCTATGTCAGAGGAGAGACATGATTCCTTGGCAAGCAGATGGCAAACAGCAGACACACTCTACAGAACTGCCCATTTGGCCCCTCGTGGGAAGCAGGGGAGAACATGCAAGTCTTCCCACAGCAGCATTTTCTGAATCAACTGGCAGAGTATGCAAACATGTTTCACAGGCAAACTCAGGTTGGGTTGTACCCAATTTTCAGCCTGAATAGAGTCATTCAAGAAAATAAATAAATAAAAATCCCCTCCTTCTGTAAAAAGAGTGGTTACAGCTTGCAGAAAGTACCCAGCATTATTGCCCTTCAGATGAATTATAATCTAAGTATTTTCTGTTTAGATAGTTAGCTTATATAGCAGAGTAAGCCTTCTTAAACCCCCTTACCTTGCTAATGTGAAACTCCAGTTTTCTGATGTATCTCTCCACAGAGCGGATTTGCTTTTGAAGAGAGGGGAGAGAGAAAGGGGGACTTGAGAAATTATTTCCTAAACATGCCTTTAAGTAACACAGTAGACATCATCCATTTATCTCTAATTGCAACATTTCATCTCACCCTCAATAGTCTTACCTTATCCAGGTCATAGTAGAAAGCCTGAAAGAGAAATAGCAGAGGCTGAGCAGAAGAGCACATATATTTATACATATTAATGATACTTCCATATTTACTGCAAGACTCACTAGGCATATCTTAAGTGACACTAAATTAAGATGCATTGTTTACTACAAGACAGTCCAGCATTTTTAGAAGTAGTTTCATTTTCTGTGCATGGTTGATTGGTTTGTTTTCACAGATGCTTGAAATGAGACAGTAAGAGTCTTACCAGCAGCTGTAACAAGGACTTGGACAGTGGTCATGGTACACTGGAGTTCCCAATATTTACTTTTAAAAAAATCTAGCTCTTATTTCCCAAAGGAAAGGCAAAGTTCAATCTGCAAGTTTTTTTAGCACTGCTGCTGAAGATACTTCTAGAGAGCTGTGAACATGACAGACTCTAGATTACAAGGACATGGTCACAAGCTACAGAAAACAAAGCCCGATCTTTATAACCATTTTTGTCCATACAGACTCTGGTACAAACACTGATCACTAAAGAGACATGAGGAGATACCGTCCCAGTAAAGGAACACTATCTGAAGAACACTACTGGATACTGAACATGAGAAATGCCAAGTTTAATTCTCACATCAAGAGCTAACTTGTTTGATAAATTTCCGATTGTGATGCCTTGCTGGATCTCACCTCAGTGCTGTAACTGGAAAACTCCTGGGAGTGCCAGATGTGAGAAAGCATCTACTTCTGTGACCTTATTTTTTAAGTCATTTAAGTATTTAAGATTAAAAACATCTTACCAATCTGGAGTTCCTTTTGGTATCTTTGTGTCGACCCGAGAGATAATCCAATTCAGCCTGATGTGCTTCCAAGTATTCACTAGAGAGGAAGAAAACCCAGACTTACATTCTTCTGGTACATTAATTATAACACTTCCCCAAAGAATTTTTCAGCAGAATGTTACAAAACAACTTCCTTCTAGAGAAGATTCCTTTTTTTTTTTTTTAACTCTCCAGAGATGTTAATAGCTATAGAGAGGGACATGGGTCAACAGATGAGAAAGGGTGGTTTCCTTAGATAAGTATTTGTCCTAAATGCAAAGTCACTCTGAGAGGAGCATCTGTATGCAATGAGTGCCAGCAGATGCTGGTTACTGTTACCCAACAGTAAAAGATGCTGTACATTAGGAATCCTCCCAAATCCTTTTTACACCTCCAAGATGGGGAATGCTACAGTGCAATTCAAGAAGGCCACCACTGGTGCTTAAGGCATATAAATATGCACACACTGCACTCAGACATTCACTATTTCTTGTTTCCCTTCATCTAAAATAGATCACTCAAGTGAAAGATAGGCTTTATTCTGTGAACACAAGGCAAAACAAAACAAGACAGCGAAGCCATAAGCACTACTAAAGAGGGAAGGAGCGATGTGGGAGGAGAATAGCAAGTTCTAACACACATATAACTTGGCTCACAGATCTCAACTTTCTCTACCTATTCCTATTTGGCCTGCTGGAACCTTTTCTGTAAGGCAGAAAAATCAGTTCATTTGTTGAGTAAGTCTCTTCTTCCTGAGACTAAGTTATCACAAACTAAGAATTCATCAACCAACTCCATCTTACAAAGTCAAAGAACTGCAACATGAAACAGTTGGACTACAAAACCAAGCTCATGGAAGTACTCCACATGTAAGGTGGAAGTTCAGTGTTTTAACAAACAGAGCTAAATACCACCTTTTAGCATGCTAGGCAGTTTCTTAATGTAACCATGACTTTTTCCAGAACGGGAACTATTTTGCAAGGTGTGAAACACTTGGTGCCAATTGGCTTCCACAGAGTCGCTTGCATGCAAGGGTTGTCCCTTAGGAGTTCCCTACAGAGCCTTAAACTATTTCTGCTGAGACCATCTTCTTCCAACTTTGCTTTTAATACAGAGCAGACTTTGGTAACTTTTTCCTCTTATGCTTAAAAGGGAACAAGAGTCACCTGGTAAATGCTACTTAAGACACAGTCTCCAAGCAATCAAAATAGCTTCATTTTAGACAGCTGCACTTCTTCACATTTGCTTTGATGCATTTCATTTTCTTATTGTTACAAAACCAGTTCCCCCAAGACACCCAGTGGCTCCAGCATGGTCTGCTCTTTACACTTGCCTATTAACAGCTCAGTGCAGAAGAAGCCAAGGCTGGTGGCAGAAAAAGGTTCACTTTCCTTTTAGAAGAGCTTCATCACTTTTAGATTTAAGTATGTTGGAATTGCCAGCTTGATGGAATGGTACCCAGATGGTTAACAGAATAAGGAGTTATTGGAATGGTACCCAGATGGTTTACAGAATAAAGTTATTTGCTATAGCTATAAAGAAAGAAACAGGCACGTAAAACATGTTCTGTACTAAAAATTCAAGTCACTCCAGCACCAAGTGGACTTAGTCTGCATCTACTTAAAATTTGGACTTTGCATTGCTATTTGATACAGTTGTTTTCTGTAGGTTACTTTAGTCAATTAGTGAGCTCCTTGGGTTTGGCAGGAGTCTGGTCATGTGGCATTCCCTGCAGAACTGGGAACAAGTTCTGATCCCCTTTACAGTTTTCTCCTCCCTATGCTCTGATAAATTCTAAACTCTGCAAAAACATTTGGGTTTGTTATTTGTTTTAAATCCAAATCCACTAATACGACATTGACTGATATTTTTCAGGCTAAGACATTACAGTCTTTTATTGGAATAAAAAAATGTGACACGTCTGAATTTACAGCGTATTATTACAGTGTATTTTATGTTCTTTGCTTAAGAAAACAAACTATGATTAGAATTAATACAGTAGCACAATTCTGAGAACAGCTGCAACATACATGAAGGAACTGTGAGTAGGATGCCAGCAGAAAGTGCAACAGGGTTTACAAATCCAAGGAAAGGTGTTATCTGCTCATCGTAGTTTCAGGGTGTAAATTAAGTTCCTGTGATATTAGGCTAGACCCATCAGCATCAACTGTTATGATTTAAGATGTGCATTTCTACAGAATAACATTTGAGGACTCAGTTAAAGGTTGATCATTTTCAATCACTGATGGAGGCAAAAGTGCTTACCACCACTTCCTTTCTGGTCTATAATACCAAGGGAGCAAGCTCATCCACATTTTGCCGTGTCAGCACTGAATAATATCAGCGTTCCTATGAGATAACTGACGGCTTCCTCAAAGCCAGAATACCCTAAATTCAGCTTGCCAGCCCATCCTTTGATCTCTATTACGTCTGCTGCATGCACCCCACATCTGCCAGACATAGGCAATGGACAAAATTGGTCTTTAACCTTTTCACTCAAGTCTGTACTCATGCTCCATTGACTGTGCAGTCAACTGTAATAAAGACTCTGAAGTTGTGCTGCAGTTAAAGCAAGATAATACTATTCACATTAATATGGAGTAGAAAGATGGAGTTAACACTACAGCTCTGTTTCATCACCTCAAGTCAGCTGAAATTTTCAGGTGGATCTCCTTAGACTTTCCCTTCAACAAGCCACCCAGAGATAAAACAGGACTTTTGAACTCCAGAGTTTAATTATATTAAAAAACCCAACACCACAAACACCAAAACCCAAACCCACTAGAATACCTAACTCTTTACTTTAAGTGTTCTCTAATTAGCATAGAGACAATAGAAATCGTTTATGAACCAGCCTCCCCACTGTGTCTTGCAGGGCACACCCTCGCTTTTAGACTTGGGTTTAAGTCAGCTTTTTGAGTCAAAACACACCACACACAGCTCCCTCTCCAGAAACTTTCTGCCAATCACCCCCCAGGTCTGGCTTCCCATCCCAGTCTCTCCTTGACCTGCAGACTTCTTGCCTGCCACCCTGCATGCTCTGAAAGCCTCCCTTCCTCAACAGAGCTTAGTTGCTCCCCAGATAATCTCCCCAGAGAGTTCTCCCTGTCCCTGACTTTTTAGAGAAGTGTAAAAAACTAGAAACAAACAAAAACAGCAGAGCACTCTGATTGCAAGCAGATTGACAGCGAGTGAAACTTGTTTCACAAGGTCCCAAGCCAGCATCTGAAAAAGTCACTACCTACTTTTAGAGATGCCAGATGGAGACAGAGAGCAGTGATACACAGACTTAAGCAGCAAGACTAGGTAAGGCAAATTACAATATTTAAAAAGTCCTTACTTAAGTCCTTTCTTCAAAGCTTCAAAAATTTTCTTCACCTGCAGTGGCTTTGGATCCCAGATGACTGCCCCCTTCTGCAGGGAATTATAAGCCTTGGGGGACTTCAGTGACATTCTTGATCTCACCGAACTTCTGCCAAGAGACTTTCTGTAGAAAAAGAAAAAAAAAAAATGGGAAAGGTGCAAAACTCATCACCAGGGAGAAGAGAAAAATGCCCAACCCACAAAGCTTTCAAGCCACAAGTTATATATCCAATCCCATTTAGCTTTAGTCAAAAGCACAAAGCTCTTGGGGACATTGAGAATACTTTCACAGATAACATTCAAAAGTTAAGACCCAGGCCTAAATACTTAATGCAGAAGAGCTGCAAGTTTTTTTGTGACTTCAATAATAATTTCAACAAGAAACATCTCCTTTTCCAAGCTTGACACAGACTCAGAGAATCCTAGTGGCTCTCTTTTATTCTTTTTAAATAAAGAAAAATCGTGCAGGTCTCCATTTCTTTGGGAAGATAGAGGGGGTACCGAGGAAGAAAGAGAAAAGCTCATCTTTATACCAGATTAATAACAAGTTAGAGTTCGTGCTGCTAGCAATTGTCTTAACAGCCACGCATGGCAGGCAGCTAAGGCCCTGTTTCTGTCTGCACATTCACACCAGTTGTTGGGTCAACTACAAAACCAGCCAAGTAAGCCACACTGCAGGGCAAGGACATGCCCATTCTGACTCTCACCTGCAATTCAGGAAAACAAGGCAACAAACTTTTGATCTGCTCAAAGTCTAACTGATAAAGCTAACATGAAAAACCTTGAAAAATAGCTGTTTCTTTGCCTGCATTCACCATCCATTTAAATGATAGCTTAGAGCCCTACCACATTTCAGAAAAGAAAGCTACCAAGCCCAGATTGCACACGAGATATAATTATCAAGGTGTTTTTTCAGTGTCTAACACATCACTTGCTTTTAAAAGCAAGTGCAAAACCAAAATTAAATATTGTTTCTAACAGAAGTCTCCCACACAGGATTTTTTGCTTTAACTTAAAGAGTTAGCATACCCCAAGCCATTAGTTATATATACATCTACAATATTTAAACTAGAAAATAATGCAAATGTTTCTCTCCCATTGGCAGATCACTGCCTGGCTTACCTCTATCTATATACTCCTCCACGTCTTAGTTATTTTTATGCAGTTCTATTAATACTCCCTGTAAGACAAGACTCCAAAATAACTATCTAAAGAACTTTCTCATTCCACCAAGCCAACAGAATGCTCTCAGAGAAGCTTTCCACGTTCTTTAGCATCTCTATCCTTAATTCAGCTCACCTGGAGAAACAATGGCCTAATACCTAGCCAATGGCTGGTTTAAGTTCCAGGCATGTGACTTAAAGAGATTATTGACCCTGGTGATTAAATCCCAGGCCCAGCACACCTGAGAGCTGTCCCCAGTGCTTTTATAGAAACCTTTGAGTAACTACTTTAATTATCCTGGTGCTAATTTTCCACTTAACTCCATGTTTTAACATATAATCTGCAAAAAATCTGTTGAAATTAGGTGCTGCAAAACATTACTGGATATTTAATTTCTTCACCCCAATCATTATCTTATTTTTTTATGATGGCTTAATGTTAAGTACTAATTAACCAAATCATTTGGAGCTCAGGTTATCTTTAACAAGGAACATAACTGTTAAATTAGAAACTTGCATTCATATTGTTTTCTTTTTAAGGTAATGGATCTTTGAATATTCCATGCAAAGGGAGAGGGTTTTGACAGCAATGACACTGGAAGGGACAGTCCAGCCAATACCAGCACTCGAAAGAGTCTCCTAGAAGGATCATCGCTTAAAATTCTTTCAGGCAAAGAAGGAAACAGCATTCAGCTCCAGGCTTTAGATGAGTACTCTAATTAGCAAGATACCATGTGGAAAATATAAGATAATTCTATCTTTTGAAATTAGAAAGCTCATATTACTCCTGGCTTTTGTTTATTTTTGGAAAGAAAAGGACTTTGTTATTTACCTCCAGATTTTTGGACTGCAAATCCTAAATTCAGGAAAGCATTTCCCTTCAGTTACAGTATAGCATGTAAGCACTGTGTACCAGATAGGCTGGGATTTAAATCTCACCATCTTCTTCAGTATCTCCAACTGACTGATGTAGCCTCTACATACTCAGTGCACTGATGTTAACAACCCCATTTTCATACATTCCATAGAAAAGTAGCTGACAGGGGCCTTTAGGGACAGTAGCTAAAAGCTAGATGCTTTGTTGCTGCTTTCCCTTGTGAACTTAATCATTTAAGTATCAGATTTCTCGCTTTATAGATAACAGCAATAACATTTACTTCCTGTGGAGACCATTGTGAGGAAAAATGAAATAGTGTGTATTACTGAGGGCCTCAAAAGGAAGTTGCTGAAGAAATGCGAAAGTATATTTAGCATCTGCTTAAGAATCTCCATGTGGACCTGATTTGTGTGTCATCCTTTGGATAGACCTTGCACAGGGCCCCTGCAATCTCCTGCTGTGTTTTGCAACAGCGCCTGAGGGAGAGATAAGTTAGGAAAGGGCGATTAAAAAATTTCTTCACTATGCTGGAGAAGGCTCTCGGGTGTTCACTGGGCTGTGACTGAGTACCCAGTACACAGATTTTCCTTATTGCGCTTATTCCTGAATGAAACTGTCTGTCTACACAGCTGAATAATGAAAAGCAACAACATAAAAAACGCATAAAGAGAGGCATTGGTTAGAAAACCTCTGCAGCTAAAAGCAACAGAATAATCTTAAGGGATACATGACCTCCTCTGTTTGGAGCGTTCCTACCCTGCTGGACTGTGCCTTTCTTGAAGAAACAGCTGTTCAACACTTTTCCTGGTAGATCCTTTCCCTGCTAGAACTCCCATGATGTACTTGAGCTCAAGTCTGTTTATATCATTTATTGACAGTTGTTTTCTCAAGATCTTAGCAAATGGTGAGATTTCAGATGTCCGATCTTTGCTAGGTGTAATGTTATTTTTCACCTTCCACAACAAATTAACTTATTCAAATGTGAAGACTTCTTGATAACATCACAGTCATGATGGAATTTCATTTTTGGTCATGCTTTACCATGCTCTATTTAACTAAAAGTCAGTTGATTCTTTGAAAATATATTTTAGGCCAAGTCAGGTATTTTACTGATATACAATAGGTTTTTCTGAGTACAATACTTTTATAGCCATACTTTCCAATACTTCTATATGATACTGCTAAATTATTCACTCTGTTATTATTCTAGCATGCACTGGCAGTCAGAGATTATATTAATTTTCCATTCATATATCATATCTTCTAAAAGCACTCGACAGCCTATACAGGGATCAGTAAATTCAGAAAAAGAACAAGAACACTTCTAGTGGAAAAGCTGCACAGTTATCTACCTAGAGCATTGCTACACAATTTATGACAAGGAAAAAGGGAAAAACAGTGCAGGATGGTTTAGCAATTACGGGGCCTGACTGAAGACTGGGCTGCAATCTTGACTGCCCTATAGACCGGTTACTGACAGCACCAGTTTTGCAGTGGCCTTTTCGGCCTGTTCATATTCCTCCCCTCCTCTCATGTAATGCTGCTCTGCTTAAATAACTCCAGGAGAACCTGAGTTGGGTTCAGGTACATATTTTGCCAGGATTCACCATTAACATTCCCATCTTTTAAAGGTCTATAAGATCTTTAATTACTATAACTATTCAAGAGGTTTTAGTCAGAAAACACCAGTTACTACTAGGCTGCAAGCAGGAGGGGTTGTAGCCCTTCATTTTTATAGAAGAAATGAACATTATTAAGAGTCTGATACTCAACCTCTGAAATCCAGCCATCTCTGAAGCACAGTGTGCATAGCAGTAAGGCAGCATGGTGTGGAATATAGCTATTTATCAGTGAACCGTGACAACACTCAATAGCTTTAAGATAAAAATTAAGGAACAACTTCCACACATAGATGTCTTAAGTTAAAAAAATACATTCACAGTACCTAATGTCTGTTGCCCAAACAATCAGGTGCTTTTCTTTTTGTGTTACTTACGCTAATTTTCTGCTTTGCACAGTGCTGAATCCAGTGAAGGAGCAGCTCCTGCTGATACCACCCCCATCGCTGGGAGAGACAAATGTGAGCTTGACCGACATGGTGGCCAGCCAGGAAGTTTATCGGCTCCTGAAATAAACAGAAAAACAGATGAGTCAAAACGTTCTTGGCAGTTCTGGCTTAGACCTGTGCTGCTGCAAGTGCTGAGCTGCATGAAAGTGGAAAGTCAGAACAACAGACAGTAGATTAAATAGGAAAAAAAGACTTGTCTGCTATACACGTTTCCTCTGTTGCCATCCACAACACAATTAATAAAGGACTGAATAGTCTAAAATGAAATCTCTCATGCCCTCTTCAATTTCTGATTGATTTTACAAACTCACTATGTAAAAGCCAGAACAGCCTCAATTCACAGGCTCTCTGCATTTCTGATTTTTTAAAAACCCAGTAATTGTCCCACTGCTTAAGGAGTTCAGGCCAACCGGTGTATTTCCAAATCAGTATGGATGCCAGAACAATACTTAAGCTCCAGATTTAGTCAGGTCCAAAAAGCAGTTCCTTGCATCTGTGCAGAGCCACACTGCAGTCAATGGTAGAATTGGCCGAGTGTGGTACTTTAGCCCAAGGCAGAAGTCTGGTTTCAACAGAAAATTTCAGGTTCATGCTCCTCCTCTGGCAGGATTTCTCTTGGATCGCTCTCTTCTGCTTTCCATCAGTCAAACTCTTTTGCTTTCTGGAGAATTGTGCTCTCTGCCATATGTCTATAGAATCCAAGTTACAATATAAGTAACAGACACATCCTTCAAAGCAGCTGTAGAAAATCACCCAGACAGTTAATATACAGAAAAATTCCTTCCCCCCTCAAGCTGGTGTAATGTAAACACCACAACTGAGTAAAACTGAGTAAAACAAAAAGCTGGAGTATCTATTTGCAGAGAGAAGTACGTACTCCAATAAAGAGCTCTACATGGAGATGCTCCATGCAAAAGTTTGTCCTACATTACAGAATGTGCTCTGAAGAACAGTGAGCTCCCCAGCTATCAGAGTAGATACTGGAAAGAAACATCTGCACTCAACCTCTAAGCCTGACGCTATCCCACCAGCATGGCTACAAGTAATCAGAGTAGAAGCCCAGAGATGTCATGATAAGACTCTTTTCCTGGCTCTGCCACTAACTTGGAAAGGAATCTCACTCTAGGTTCTTCCAGACTGCACATAAAGAACTGAGTGGTTATATACACCCCTCAACAAAAGTGAGGTTTGAGAGTGTTTAGCTAATTCCGAGCTAGTTTACTAGTACAGGGAATTACTGTAAGTGACTGTGCTTTCGATATCATTATCTACCAAAGCAGTAACAAAAGCTGTCCTGGATTTCCACAAGTAGAGATCCTGTGGTGAGACCTCACTATTTCATTAGAAGCCGCTCCGTCAGTTCCCAAGGCTGAGGTCTAAGGCTCCCACTTCTTTGCCCGTTCTACAAGCTGTGCCAAGCTCATGAATACAGCTGTGAAAAACAGGCAAAAGATTTTAGAACAACATGTGAAAATGATAAATTTGAGCCAAACAGCTACCTGCTTTGCAAGCTACCTAGTTTGTCAAAAGAGGTGTTGGGCATGGCTAGGTATTTCCTATTTCTGTGCATCAAAGTCAAACAGACTCCACTGCTTCAGTAGTATCAATAGAGATCTGGCTACACAGAAAATTTAGGTGCATCTTAATCACCTTTTAATCAAACTGTACAGCATTTACATTCTGTTGCTTTGAATGGATGCCTCCTTAACACCCTTAATCAGAGGTTGTACTTGCAACACATCACAGCTGAACTTTCAAAATATTTTCCATTCTTTCTTCTAGTTTTCAGATGCTTATAAGCCTGTGAACAGTCACCCCATCAAAAGGATCATTAGACTGAAAAAAACATGCAACTTACTGAAAAATGTAATTGCATAACAAGCTGCTAAAGGAAGAAATAAAAGGAATAGCCTCATGGTTATTGACCACATCCCTCATCAAGGCTAAGCCAGATTCCCAGGATCTATTCTTCAGCTCTCTAACTTGAGAAAGTTAGTTCATGAGTAAGAGGAAGGAAGAAAGTGCAAGAAAAGTTTCTCTAATTTTAACAGGACTCCTAAAGCCTGCATAGCATGCGATTGAAAGCCTTTGAAGCATATAGATAGGAAAGAAACAAACAAAACCAAACAAAACCAAACAAAGACCCTTGACAGGCAACAGAAAGTGGAAAATGATGAGAAGACTCTTGAAGCAAAAATCTGTGGTTCTGAACTCTAGATGTAAAGAATTAAGTTGGAAACATGCAGACCCCCAAAACTCAGTTGGTGAAAGAAGTAAATTGCTTCAATTGCCTAGACTTGATTCTGTTGCCACATGTGTTTTTATAAATCTAATATAATTCCATACTTCAAGAAGATAGGCTGTTGCAAATTAGTAGAAATGAGAGATGAATTGGACCTCAGTTGCTCAGAGCCATAAGCATTTAAAACTTCTTATGGGTTGTTTGTTTTTTTTAACTGCACAAAGCTCAGTCCTCAAGACCGTGTCATGTTCTGCTGTAACACACAGCTACGTTCAAAAGCAATTCACAAACACATTTCACAGTTCCCTCTTATAAGAACAAAGATAATTTAAATAAAGTTAGGAAAGCACCATTAAAGAGGTTATCTTTCTTACCCTGAAATAATGTCAGGTAAGTCAAATACCACTTGGTAGATACCTGCATATGTATTTTTTGTAGCGACCTAGAAATCTTACAATGCATTTCACACTTCTGGGTAGAAGAACATAAGCGGGATATCAAGACAACATTTTATTTGTAAGAAAGATTTATAAATGGAGTTGTTTAAACAGAGGGCTAGCCAGAGTGTCTGTATAAAAGTGCTGAGCTGTGTTATAACTGCCCCTGAGAAAAAGCATCTGGACACATCTCAAATTCAACTCTCCCTTTAGGCTACAAATAAATCAGATAAGGACCCCCGACAAAGCTGAGTTCAAATCTCTCTTCCAACCTGTAACCTCTGCTGTGTAGGCCAATGTCTCCAAATCTCATAAATACAAGGATTATACCCTGGGGAGCAGAGGAACTTCCTCCTGTTTAATCTTCCCCAAAAGCACAGAAGGTGAATACAGTAGCTGGCTGGGGGCTGGCATGTGTAGAGTGCATAAATATCAGGCCAAACTGAAGGAGCCTATTGCCAGGGGCAGTAGAAACACCAAACTACTGGAAAAAACAAAGATTCTTAGAAAAGTCTTATAAAGCTTTTGAGTCTTAAACAAATCTTCAAACTGCCAGGTACTAATCAACTCAAACATTTTAATAGGTGCAATTTTGTAAGATTGAGACTTCAGGTCTCAGAAATATATTTTTAATATAAATCAAAAGAGTGGTTTGGTTGTTTTTTTTTTCAAATTAAAGGAGTATTTTTGTTTGTCCCTGTTTCAGTGATTTGCCATAACAAACTATTAGCACTTAACCTTCAGTATCCAGGCACGTAGGGCCAAATATTTGAGCTTCTGTGCAGCAGTGAGAACACTCAAACTGCATGTTCTGCTTCTTCTCTGTTAGTATTAGGATATTCCTCAAGCCAAATGACCTTCATCCTCTACAAACAAAAGCTGGTGTCTGTTTGTGTTTACGGCTAAACTTTTCCAGCCCTAGTCACATATTTAATTGTTTCTGGGCACAATGGTTTTAACAATTTTATGAGGAAAATATGACTCACTGACTTCTTGCAAAATATTTCTGCTTGTGTTTTGTACTTTAAATTGGTAGCCATGTTTTTCTTTTAATATCTCCAAGAGATTGACTTGAACTTAGTGAACTGTTGCTAGAGTAAGATATTCATGTTTCCTTAAAATTTATAACGTTCCACTTGTGAATGACCAGTTGGTTAAGGAGACACACTTGCTCTTGGTTGTGTGTCTGCAAAAACTCTACAAGACTTCTCTTTCCTTCATCTAATTGTGGACACACACATGGAGTCGACAGCCCAGGCAACACGTGGCTACGTATCTCACCAGTATGGCAGTCCCTGCCATTCACTGGCTTCAGCAAGCAGCAGCTGCCTAACAAAATAAAAGCCAGTTTGAAACCAAGTAAATTATTAGTCGCTATAGAAAATAAACATAATGACTGAATGCAAACTGTCAAATGTCAATCACTTCAATGTCTCGGGATCATGTCTGTGACTCTGGATACATTACGTGATCATGACAGTTTGTCTTACACCACCTGGTCCTAACTTTCTGCTTATGTTTTTAGACTATTGTTGTAAATATTACATTAGGTTTACTTGGAAGGACAATAGAGCCATTTTATCTTCTAATTTTGGAAACTGAACAGAGTTGATTTCACTTTATATTATCACAACATTTTATTAGAAGGACTACAGTCTTGACCCTATAATATGTGACTTATATTTGTGCCTATATGGAGAATCCTCTTAGTAACTGAGTTTTTGCAAAGCATAGTACACAGATTTTATTGCAGGGTTGTCACCTAGAATCTATGTCTTTTTAGAGCACGGTTTTATAAAATTCATTTTGGCTCCATAACAGCCAAACAAATTTGCCATAAATGTGTATTGGTTCTATACCATTTCTACTGAAATTAATTTTCACTGTGTGTAACCAAAATCAGTCCTGATTAAGTAGATGAACATTTAGGAACTTTAGAGACATTCTCTGGACTTACTTTAGAAATGGTCTGTGATTCCAACAAATCATCTGCTGGTTAAAAAAACCTCCAGTCAAAGGTGCTAAGTTACTCATTTCATTTCCCTGAACATATTATAAACTCCACCACGATAACTGTTTTGCTGCTATAATTGCATCTGTGTTAGGGTTTTAGCTGATAGAAATATATCCTGCAAACACTTAATAGTGAAAAGACAACCCTACCATAATTGCATCAGGAAATTTCTAGCATAAGTCAAATTTAAGACTGATTTTGCAAATCAGACTACTTTTGTCTACCATCATATTGATGCAATTACAATTATTTTTCTTCCTCTCATTTATTTCAAAACTCAGGAACAATGAAATTAACTAACACTTTTGAATGCTTCTGGTGGGTGGTATTCATTTCAAAACACTTGTGGCAGACAATGGTATTT